TTCCAAAGTCAAAGACAAAAAGCTCACTCATGAGCCAGATCCTATAGTTTGCTAGGGAGGGGGGAAAAGCAATGCTGACAAAGACAATGAACCGACAAACACTGGAGACACAGACAGGGTTATGTATGTTTATGTTTATGTTTATGTTTATGTTTATGTTTATGTATTTAGCAGACGTTTTTGTCCAAAGCGACTTACAAGTGATAATCGGCATGTTGCCCTTGAGGCTAACAACAACAATAACAACAACTTGACATCATTCATGGAGACGAGGGAACAAGGAGTGGACAGTAGAGAGGGGGAACGGGTGCAGACAAGGTGCTAGTTAAGAAGATGCTCTCTGAAGAGCAGGGTCTTCAGGAGTTTCTTGAAAATTGAAAAGGAAGCCCCTGTTCTGGTAGTGCTTGGTAGGTCATTCCACATTTGTGGAACGATGCATGAGAAGAGTCTGGATTGTCCTGAGCGTGGTGTAGGCACTGCTAGCCGACAATCCTGTGGTGACCGGAGCGGCCCGGCCGAGACGTAAGCCTTTGCAAGAGGATTCAGGTAGATGGGAGCCGTACCATCTCGGACTTTGTACGCTAGTGTTAGCAATTTGAATTTGATGCGTGCTGCTAGCTCAATGAACAGAGGGGTGACGTGTGCTCTTTTTGGCTGATTGAAGACCAGACACGCCGCTGCGTTCTGGACCATTTGAAGAGGTCTCACAGTACTGCCTGGAAGACCAGTTAGAAGAAGGGCATTGCAGTAATCGAGGCGGGAGATGACAGTAGATTGCAACAGGAGCTGGGTGGCATGTTGTGTTAGGTATGGTCTGATCTTTCGTATGTTATACAGCGCAAAGCGGCATGAACGAGCAACAGAGGCAACATAATCTTTAAAGGTCAGGTGTTCATCAATCACAACACCCAGATTTCGAAATGCCTTTGAAGGAGCCAGAGATAGGAAGTCATTCTGGATTGAGATATTGTGCTGTATGGATGGTTTTGCTGGGATGACAAGTAGTTCAGTTTTAGAGAGGTTGAGTTGGAGATGGTGGGATTTCATCCATTTTGATGTGTCAGAGAGACAGTTTGATATTCGTGCAGAGACAGTGTGGTCGTCCGGTGGAAATGACAGACTGGGTGTCGTCTGCATAGCAGTGGTAGGAGAAGCCATGTGATCGAATGATCTCACCCAGTGAGGTGGTGTATATGGCAAAGAGAAGAGGTCCTAGTACAGAGCCCTGGGGGACTCCTGTGGCAAGATGGTGCACGGTAGAGGATTGTCCAAGCCAAGATACACTGAATGATCATCCTGTGAGGTACGATTCAAACTAGGCGTGTGCTTTCTCTGTCATGCCCATGCTAGAGAGTGTGGACAAAAGGAAGCCATGGTTGACAGTGTCAAATGCTGCCGATCAGTCGAGCAGGATAAGCACTGAGGATTTGCCTGTCACTCTAGCTTCTTTTAAGGATTCAGTCACTGCTAACAGAGCAGTTTCAGTGGAGTGGCCCTTTTTGAATCCAGATTGGTAAGGGTCAAGCAGACAGTTTTGTGAGAGGTATTCTGTGATCTGCTTGAAAGCCACCATATACACAGGGCTGGGGTGATAGGAGATGAGGAGCAGGTGTGTGGGGAATTGGGTACAGGTGAAACTGATAACAGAGGGGGGGAGCAGAACGAAGCAGGGGAGGAAACCAGACCTAACTGGGGAAGGGAACACACATACTAAAGGAGACTAAGGAACTGAAATAATAAACCTACAGAAACTACAGTGGAGAGACTAAGAGAACACGAGGAAAACCTGGAGGGAGCTGGGGACAAAAAGTGGCTGGGGGCTAGAAGGACACAGAACGTGAGGGGACACCTGGAGGGGGCTGGGGACCAAAGGGACAGAGAACACGACAGATGTATGGTCCTGTGTCTCTGTGCAGCTCACAAAATATTTTGAGTTCATTTTTGTCTCCATGTCGAATCACAAACATGATCATAAGCTTTTTGCAGCGATATTTTGAGCTTTGACACAAAAACACACAACTGTTTTCTGGATGAATATGAAGTGGTGACTGGGTCGTAAAGGTTAAAGATCCAACATGCAAACCCAGACATCCCTCTCTCCAATGACACTTCTCTGTGTGGGTGATCATAATGTGTTCACATGTCAGAGAGGATTTACAATCCCTCCAGCAGGTTCTGGGTCTGACTCTGGGTTTCCTCCCAGTGGGACCTGGAAGCCTCCAGACTGAGGTGACCAGGAACATCTTGTTCTGATACCCAAACCACAAAAGCTGACTTCTGATGATGTGGAGGAGCAGCAGCTGAGGCTGTGCCCATTGGCCCAGCAGAGGAAGTTGTGGTAGAATCTTGTTCTTTCACTCATGACCCATACTTCCTGACCAGAGGTGGGAGATGGAGGCGAAATGGACCAATAGCTACAGAGTTCAACTTGTTCTTATTTACGATTCAAGTGAAGATCTCATACTCTATCTTACCTTCACAAGAAGCCAGTATGATTGAGTCAAAGACTCCTATCCAGTTCAGAGGGAGACCCAAGCCTGCACGTGCAGGCCTTAACTTCAGCTGCTCTTCCTCTTCTCTGTCTTGGTTTGACATTACGCTGCTCTGTTGTGACACCTAGTGGTAGTTCTTGATGAAACATTTTATATTTAAACTAATATCTGTTTATGACACTGTGGTACTCAAACAGAAACTTCTCATTTACAAATTAGCATTTATTTGGATGCCATAAGGAGTGATTTTTGCTGTTTAATTTAAGATGATCAGCCCTCAGTATCATGTAGCCCTGGTCATTCGCTAACAGGAAAGTCATTAAAAGAGAAATGTGCAATCATTTTTTTTTATCTAATAATAGTTGTGCTCTTTTATGTGCATTTTAAACTTCTTAGCAATTGTCAGGCTGATATTTCTAAGATTCATTTAAAAAAGGAAAATAAACGTGACAAAATTACTTGAATTCATGTCTGATGAAGTAAAATCTGAGATTTTCTGCTTTGGGTCAAATTTAAACTTTAAAATTATTAATTAACCTGCATCCAGTTTTAAAAAATTGTTTTGAGGATCTAAAATACAGAGCTACACTTGTTTCTCAAAAAGATAAATAGACAATTTGATGTGGATTCAGTATAATAAACATGACTTTACAGTTTGACAGTAGATGTTTTTGAAATGATGGGTCAGTTATTTTGATGGGAGTAAATTAAAACAAAATTAATCAAAACAAAAGCCAGGCAGAGTTTTGATCTGTCTGAGTTAAACTAGGAGAGATGTGTTGAGTTTAGCTGAGTTCCAACCTTTGGTTGGAATTTTTATTTTATTCTTGTTATTTGAGATTAGCAGCTAATAAACATAAAACCCAGACACTTTTTGTCAGTTGCTCAAAACATTTTAAAGGCACAAAAAATCATCTTTAGTTCTGAAAAGTAAAAAAAAATAGAAATGATAATAAATCTAAGTAAGAAAGTAGAACAGATCTGACATGAACAGAATAAAATATTGTAACCAGGAAGCAGAGTCATCCAACAGATGAAGCAGGTCGATAGATTCAAAGCCATGATGTATGTCAGGGAGGATGTTTATTAGTACACCTGAATATGATCAAATCTATTACTTGCCTTTTATCGGTGTTGTTTCTTAAAATCTTTCTCGATTCACTTACATATGTTAAACACCAGGTGTCAGTATTTCACCACACATGGAAAGAAGTAAAACCATTAAAAGAAAAATTAAATCTTGGCAATTAGTAATTGAAGGAAATTTTGTTTTTAAACAGAATTTGATAGATGTGGGTTCTGCACAATGTTAATGTTTTTTTTTCTTTTGGAGAGTAAATTTGTATTATTTCCAGACTGTGTGCTTTAATCTCATATAAAACTCTCGGATTTTGGCAAGAGTCGCTTTCTTTAGGTTGCTGAGACAAGCAGAGACCAGGAAGCAGAGTCATCCAGCAGCGGAGACAGGTGTATTCTGCACAAAGAATGTGCACAACATTTTAAATACAACTGATGGTGAGCCAACATATCTGAGAAAACTGATAATGACATACTAACTTGCTGTTTTGCATGTACTAATAACGCAAACATGAAACCATTAGTGACACAATGCACTGATGGTAGAAAGAAGATGAACAAAGGCTGCTGAGAGAGGATCAGCTGCAGGTAAGCAGCACTAACACTCCTCATCCACAGTACATGACGTCCAGGGTTCAACAAGGTTCAGTGAAATTGACTAGCCTGACTTGAAATTACTTTTAAAGGACACATTCAGTTACTGATGTGATGAACTTTATTGAAAAATCATCATAACCAAAATAACGCTATTTTTACTCATTTGGAAGCTATGATGCTTTAATGAGAATATTACACCTAAAGATCAGTGTTCCTTTGCTTTATCTCCTCCTGCTGAGGTCCTCTGACAAACATCTTAAATGAAATTATTGGGAGTCATTGGAAACATCACGCCCACCATGCAGAGAAAACTTACATCCAATTACAGGTTATGAAAGCGGGAACTCATAAAAACCGGTTCAATATATCATCCTATTGTTTATGTGCTTAATTGCTGCTTTAATAATGGTTGCTGTTTACTGAGCAGTGGAAGATCTACAAACGTGACGCATGTTATTTGTGACGCACGAGATGGGAGGTCATTCTCTTTTGAAACGCTGCAAAAAATATCAATCGATTTGTCTGGTCTGTAACAGCATTTCTTTACCAGCATAGATTAGGTTTGATTTCATTATTAAATCACTGCTTTGGTGTTTCTTTTCTTCTTAGATTTGTCTGAAGTGTGGCTTTGTCAAACTCTTAAAAAACATTGTTTTATTTATTTTTTATTGTTCTGAGATAAAAGTGATGTTTAGCTTGGCCTACTTTGTGTTTTTAAAATCAGCGCACTGTCACAAAATGACACTTCTTGCAGTGTTCTCCTCCTCCTCCTCCTCCTCCTCCCGTCCGTCTCCTCCCCCTGCTCTGTCACGAGGGGGGCGGGTCCTGTTATAGTGGGCTCTTTTACAGCTTTGGCAGGTGATGCTGTAGCTCACTCGGGGCTTGAAGAGCCTCCTCGCCTATCTGGTTTTACCTGGGGAGGTGACCTGGTTTCAGCATCGCGGCGCGTGCACAGCTCCAGGGCGCCGCGTGCATTTGGTCTCCATCCTCCTTGACCGGTACGTCCGCCCCGAGGCGCAGCCTCCCGCGGCAGATTCAGCACCAGCGGCCGTCCGGAGCGGAGCTGTCCACGCATTCAGCACTTTTTTTCCCACTTGAGGAGGGAGCTAGATAGGAGCCATTAGCTAGAAACTTCCTTCTGAGAGATTCAAGGCAGACCATTTCAGTATGGCGTCCAAATACTTTGGTCTTTTCGTGCTTGTTCAGCTTTTTGTTCTGGAAGTAGACAACCAGACATTTGCCTTCCCCACACCGACAGCCTCAACGGATGGTGAGTTCAAAAACTAGGACAGCTTTGCAAAGCAAAAATATGCAACACAAGCTTCTAAATAAAAATAAGTACATAAAGCTCTGCATTTATCCCAGGTTTTGTTTAGATTTTCCATAAAAAGTGGACATGTGTGTTAAGTTTGTTTGCTGATTTAAAGTAATTTAAAGCTGCAAACATTAAACATCAAGCAGTGAAATCCAACAGTTGAGCTCCTGCTCAGCAGCGACCTGATGGTGTGTTTAAAATGGTGCCTGGCGGCTTTAGGCCACTTGTGGTCTATTTTCGCCACAATTTAATCTTTTGTTTGACAATCCGATTAAGCTCTGCCTCTGGTGATGTTCGGACAGAAGAGAAGCCTCAGATCACACAGATCTGAAAGATCTCCATTACAAAATCATAATTAAAAGTAACATAAAAGTTTTTTATTGTTTGGACTTGTGACATTTGAAATCTGACTATCTTTTATTGACTGATTTATTGTTTATTCTATTACAGATAAAGCTGTGTACAACCGACAGTTGACAGAAGAGAGACCGCTGCAAGAGCAGGTGGGCATCCATGTCTTATAGCTGATTTTCTTTTCCAATATCCGGCCAAATGAGTTTTATTGTCTCGAGTCAAACAGCTGTCATATTAGCCTGAAAGTCATTAATAATCACAGCTTACATCCTGAGTGCAGATCATCTGATTGGTGTTTCTCATTTCCTCAGATTGCAGAGGCAGACAGCGTGAAGGCTGCAGTTCAGTCAGCCGGTAAGAGGAAACCTCGTGACGATCAATTGAAGGCTTTATTTCCGCCTGCTGTGCAGATTCAGGTTTCAGCGTTTTCCAGTAAAACGGGCCTCATCTGCAACTGAGGGACATCACAGAAGAGTCAGTTGCTCATCATCCACACATGAATGTGTTGTATTCTTTGTTTCCTCACAGAGAGCAAACAACCCGCCGCCTTCAAGGACGCAGAGTCAGAACAGGCCAGCGATGACTTTACCATGCTCAAGTCTCTGGCTGACGGCCAGAAATCAAAAGACTCCCGGGAGGTGCTGGTTAAGAAGGAGGATCATCACGTTCCTGATGAGGCCGATTCAACTAAGAGCCGACGTCTCGCTGATGACTACGACTCCACCAAAAATGGGATGGATTATGGCAAGTACCAGGGTATGCAGAGCCCAGTCCTTCAACAAGGACAGGCGTCATACTCTGAGCTTCTGTCTGTAGCTGGCAGGTCACCAGGTAGACATCCAAAGAAAGAGTCTGCAGAGGAGACGCGTGTGTTTAATGGGGATAAGCACCAACAGATAGAAAGAGTCAAAGAGAGAACGCGTGAAACCAGGAGCGAAAGATTATCCTCTCTGTGTCTTACACCGGTGAAATAGGGACTACAGACATCATGGCTGACCTTCACGTCTCAGTCCAATAAGGAGAAATAATGTGGTCCTAATACAATACACAATTTTTATGTAAAATTTTGAGCCATCCCACATAATCTGAGGGCTACATCACTGCACGAGCTCTCGCACTATTGCATGAGATCACCAGTGTTACTTTAAAGATTGGACCAACAGGGCTATAAACCCATTCTCTTAACAGAAGATGGTGTTTGTTTAAATCTGTGGTAAACATCCCTGGACGTTTCATTTGGAACGACCAACGAGCGCTCATTTTGCTGCATGTAATTTGATCATCAGCGTGTTAGCTCGATCTGAGGCGAGGCGCGTCAGACTCAAAGCGCTGAGCGCTACATTTCCTCCATTTATGCAGTCACTCTGGCTATGATGACCCAAGGCTTTGTGCTACATCCCCATTTGGCAGGTGCAGTCAATATTTTGTCAAGGTAAAAATAGATTGAAGGACTTGATTTAATCTGCATCACGAGCAGGAAGAAACACTGGTTATCATTACTGTTTGGGCCTTGGAACGCAGCAGGAACTGTTATGCAAGTTTCAAGCTGTGTCACTCGTACATTTCTCACTGAGCACGAGGAGCGAGGTGTTATTTACTACTGGGAAATATTCTTTCACCTGCTCTGAAATAGAAATATCTAGCTTTAGCACTCACAGTCAATAAATCAAGATGAAGTATTTGAAATTGTAAAATAGAGCAATAAAGAAGAAACCATTTTCGTAACAAGTTTTAATTAGTGGCGATTGAGAAAACAGAATGTATTCTTAAAATATAGCATTTGGAAATATGTTTGTGGTTTCCTTACAGATGACACAGAAAGCTTCCGCCAGGTTGATGGTACTCCACTGACAGCCGAGGACATTGTTCAGAAAATTGCCAACAAAATATACGAGGAAGATGACAGAGGAGTGTTTGACAGGATCATCTCCAAGCTGCTCAAATTGGGGCTGGTGAGCTCATCGTCCTCCTATGAGAGTCATATTGAGTTTGCCCCAGCATGCGACATGACATTTTCCCAACAGGACCTCTGTCTGTCTCTTTGCACCATCTCTCTTCCTGCTATGAGATGAAGAAGAGTGTAAATTTATTTTTCTTTTGTGCTGCGATTTTAGCTGTGAGTTTCTTTTTTTTGGCACTCGATGAATAGCTCAATGTTGCTATAAGTGCTTCCATAGATCAGTATGTGACACAAAGCTGTTCAAACACTACATGTTAAAATCACAAACATACAGCATTAGGCTCAGCATACAGCATGTTTGTGATTTAGAAATAATTAATACAAATCTGTTCTTTCGGATCTTCCGCAGATCACAGAAAATCAGGCGGATTCTCTGGAGTACCAGGTGGCCGAGGCACTCCAGGATCTCATCACAAAAAATGCCAAAAACAATGAAGTTGAGGACACAGAGAACATCGCTCAAGACACAGGAGGAGAGCAGGATGACCAGGGTGCAGACATGGTAAAAACCATCTTGGTGGATAAAGCACAGCTTTCTGGTTTCATTTCTGGACCACCGATCTTTGGGCCTTGAGCCAACTTTGTACATAATTAATCACATAGGAGTGATGTCATCTCTATGTGACTGCAGCAGAAGTGCAGGAAGGATCATGACACCATTGCTCTGATGATATAATTCTGCAGAAACCATTAGGCTCAAGCCACTAAATGCATTTGTTCTTTAAATTGGGAAGCATTCATGAAATATTACTTGTGACAGCCAACATTTTTTATTATCCTACATTTGGCTTTTAACTTTGGAAAGTAAATACTACATGATTACCCTTTAATGTCCACACCAAGAAATAAAATAATAATATATAAAGATCACAATTATATAAAGTGAGATGATAATATTGCAAATGTTGCATGGACTAAAACGAGCACCACCAAAGGGTAATAGCTCAGTGGCCTGGTGGTCCACCCTGAGACTGGGAGATCATGGGTTTAAATCCACAGTTGGGTCATACCAACGACTTTAAAAATGGGCCTACCCACTTAACGCTCAGCATTAAGGGGTTGGATTGGGGGGTTAAACCACTAAATAGTTCCCAGGTGCAGCCACTGCTGCAGCTTACCAGTCCCCCAGGGGATGAGTCAAATGTGAGAAGAAATTTCACCAGTGTGTGATGACTAATGGAACTTTATCTGTGAGTGTTTTTTTATGAACCATGATATTAACATGTGTTTTGAACTGTCATTGCACTAGAAAATTCTTTAATATGGCAATCCAAGCTGAACACCTAAATGATGACTCCGGGCAACTCTTCTTGCTTTTCTCAGGAAGTGGGTTTGGGCTCGTCTTTTACCCCAAAATTCTCAGTTATTCACTAGTTCATTTTAAACAGATTTTTTTTTATTTTTTTATTTTTTTTGCAGCCTCAAACTGAGCAATATAATGGATTAAGTCCCAAAACACTAACAATAGTATTACCACATGCAACGCTAATGGGTTTGTATGCAAGCAATAACAGCTCAGTCGACATTGGAGGGTAAAAGTACTACAATCCATGTGCAAATGTAATATTTCTAAAATACGATTTCTTTCAAAAACACCATCAGACAACTTCATTTAACTGTTTCATGTGAGTTGATGCTGAATGATGCCAACAGAGCTGCTCTGTGCCTTTTACCTGTACTTTTGCTGCATTGGGATTGAGTGGTTGTAATGTTGGTCCAGAGCCAAAGATGAAAAAAACATTTTTACAGATTGTGTAAGGAGGCAAAAGATGGCTGCAATAAAACTAAAATCTCTGCTTTTTCCAGGACACGTGGGAGCCACGCAAGCGCAGCTACAATGAAGAGGAGGAGGAAGAAGAAGACAACGATGATGAGCAGATTGAGGATGATGTGGATAGAGATGCAGAGGAAGAGATGGAAGCAGCTGACAACACCTGGGACAAAGATACAGAGGAGGGCAATGAGGTGGGCCAGGGAGATGGGCTCCAGGACCTGCAGTACTTCCCAAACTTCTACCAGCTGCTCAGAAGCCTTAATTCAGGTAAAATAAACAAACAGAGGTTACTCATCGTACCGCATTGTTCATCCAAAGAGAGTGAGTTTGAAGATCAAGAGCAAGCAAGTTTATTTTAAGAAACAATTGATCTTTTTCTGTCTGTTCTTGCTTCCTTACAAATCTGGGAAATGTGGACAAAACACACACACACACTCACACACACCATGTGGGAATGAATAATCCAGTCAGCATGACCTCCAAAGTCAAACTCCATGTGGTCACACCAACACCATGGAAACCAACTCCCATTGTCAGAGCCTGGGAAATGTTCTCTCTCCACTTGTTTTTCTTTCGTTCTTTTTTGCAGAAAAAGATGCTCAGGAGAGAGAAACGCTGATCACCATCATGAAGACACTGATAGATTTTGTGAAGATGATGGTGAAGTATGGCACCATCACCCCAGAGGAGGGCGTCTCATATCTGGGTGAGACCCTGATGACTGGATGGATAATCTATAATGTCGTGTGTCTCTGTAGCGCCACAGATTCTTCTAGATTTTTCTTCTAAGTCTTCAAATTGGTACCTCTAGGTCTAGATGTGGAACAAATAAGTCTTATTTCTAGTTTTTGAGGTTGAAACTGAGAAGCTCCCATCATACATTTACACCATTCTGTTCTGCTTTAGTGAAAAGATCCTTTGAATGTGTGTTTATTTATTTATTTATTTATTTATTTATTTATTTATTTATTTATTTATTTATTTATTTGTACCCGAACCTTTCATGTGAACTTCTGTTTTGAATGAACTTGTTCTGCTACATTCAGAACAATCAGATTAAATGTCACCTTGATGATGTAATTCTTCAAACTAGGTGACTTTTCCACCTGTGGCTTCTCTTTTCAGAGTGTTTGGTTAGTTCATGTCCCTAGATTTTTATTTAAAGTGTATTTTTAGTAACTGTACCAGACTGACTCTAAAACGGGTTCACATATCAGTAAAAACAACTTACAAGTTGTCAGACAAAATCTAAATATTTTAAATCTTATGTTCACTCGTTTTTTAATACGACTTTTTTTTTGTTTGTCTTTAAAGGTTTTGAGCTTCCTTGTTACACAAATGTCCTCCATGTTACAAAGTTTTCTACATGTTTTTTATATCACAAGGAATATTTCATGGTTAGACGATAATCTGCATCATGCACAAATGAGCATCTCTGCATCAGTGTGTTTAACATTTAGGTTTTTGTTCCATCTCAGCTGATCCAGTGTATTCCTGTTAAAACCAGGCGGTTAGCTTATGACTGGTTTTCACATCAGTAGCCAGTGGAAAGGTCAGACACTGGTAACAGGCAGCTCAGATGTCAACTCAATTATAGATCCAGAAAATCCCAGATCCATCCAGTACTCTCTGGATTATACAACTTTTTATAGAATTATTCTTTTGGATCATATCAGGTTTACTTCTTACTTTTTCATTATGTAATTTTGGTTGAGCTTCGAAATAAGAACAGCAGATGTTTTGATGAACATCTTGATGATCTATTTGGTCTAAATCGTCTAATCTGAGATTACAGTGTTCATGAACAACAAATTTTATTTATTCCCTCAATCAATGTGTGGTTGACTTAAAAAGCTTCTTTTTTTTTTTGTTATTTGTAAGCGGTTATTCTGAGTTTAAAGAGACAAGATGTAGTTTTGACCATTAATCTCTGGAAATATCCAGTGAAATGTTGAAAATGACTAAAAATGACATCCAGATGTTGATCAATATTGGCGGCTTCGTAATATATAATCATAAAAATCAGGTCTAAAGTACAGAGGTCGTGGGTCTAAAGAATTTAAGGGGACACCATTTTAGACAAACTCATGGCTGAAGCTCTTCCAGGCAGATAAAACATTCATGTGCCTGAGCAAATGGAGTTAGTGGTAGAGCTGTGTTGCTTTTATACAATCCGAGGCAAGATGTCAAAATATCAGAAAAAAGACTCCAGATCCATCTGGTCCTGCTCGGCTGGGGGCCTGTGGGCTTTTTTGTGTCCTGAGTTCTGACTGCAAGGCATTCATTCCTATTAGAGACCATTGTAAATGTATTGACTGAAGGAGTAATTCACGATATAATATCATGCTGTTCCATTCACTTTGAAAACACAATTGGCCTTTTTATCAGCTAAAATACTTTTAGGGCTCTAGCATTAGCATAGATCTATTCTATGAAGTCAAAAGTACACTGAGGGAGGTTAACCTTTTGTTTGTAGCCTGTAGAGAAGGAATAATCAATTCTCATTCAAATGGCTGTTAGCAGCAGCTGTCTGCATTTTTTTTTATTTATTTTTTTTTTATTATTATTTATTTTGCAGTGGACTGAATGTCCAGTGCTGCTGTTACAGAACCAGACATGTACCATTAAGAGTTTCCATAGCAACTCTTCTGGCTTCACATGTCGTGAGTAGATAATAGGAGGGAAACCCATCATCGCTATAGCAACGTGTTTACACCCCACTGGCTTGCTTCCCCCAGCTGATGGAAGATGATCCAGTGAGTCACCCGGGTTCACCACTGAGTCCACAGAGCTGTCACTCATGCCTAATCTGATAGTGGGCCATGGAGGCTGAGAGAGAGAGAGAGAGAGAGAGAGAGAGAGAGAGAGAGAGAGAGGGGGGGGAGAGAGAGAGAGAGAGAGAGAGAGAGAGAGAGAGAGGAATAGGAAAAAGCTGGGGAGGAAGATATTTTTAATGTGTGTGTGTGTGTGTGTGTGTGTGCGTGCGTGCGTGCGTGTGTGTGTGTGTGTGTGTGTGTGTGTGTGTGTGGGATGAGAGGAAGGAAAAATACTAGGTGGATAAGGAAAGAGAGAGAGGACAAGGGAGAGTGGGATGGTTAGATAAGATATCAAGGAGAAATCAGACACAAAAAGAAGGCTCCAAAACAAGCTTTTATGTTTGATACAATCCTCTTCTGACAATAATCAGAATAGCAGCACTTAATCTGCTCTTACTGGAAGTTTCTAAAGCTAGATGCCAAACAACCTAGAAGTTGTTGCACATTGTTATAAATAGTCTTATAAAAAAATTGCTAATTTAGTAGGACAACACAAGGAAAAGGGTGTAACTGATTCAATAAACAGCTGAAGGGTTTTCTATTATGTGCCATTCCATAACATTCTGTAAAAGTATGCAGCTAATGTTTGTACAAACAAAATGTGTGTGTGTGTGTGTGTGTGTGTGTGTGTGTGTGTGTGTGTGTGTGTGTGTGTGTGTGTGTGTGTGTGTGTGCGTGCGTATGTGTGTGTTTGTGTCCTCTAAACATCTGAACCCCCCTTTTCAAATCCAGAGCGAACTGGTTGTCCCTGTTTGATCTCTTTGTGTCTCCCTCATCGACATAAAGGTCTCCCTGATTTGCAATCCCTCTTTAAAAACTTGGTAATCTAATCCCATAACATCTGGACCTCATTTTGTGGATTACCCAACAAAAGCTACTAAGTCTTTGTCTGCGCTTTTGGGAAACTATCTTTTGCCTCTGACGTTAAAGCACACAGCAACACTGTGGTTTATCTGAATATCTGAATTTTACATCAATTCTTCCCATTAAGGCCATTTTAATGTGATTAAAATCCTGGAGATGATTATGGATACCACAAGGTCATGTTTATCATTACGGCCATCCTCCTCAACCTTCTTTTCATTGAACTGAATTAGATGGAGCCCTTTTCTCATGATAATAACCCTCTGACTCACACAGAAACAGAAAAGTGTCTTTCATTCATCCTCTGCAGAGGTGAACTGCTTCCCTCAGGCTGATGACATCCAAAGTAAATGTTTGTTCTGTTTCTTTCGTCTGCAGAGAACCTGGATGCTATGATAGCCATGCAGACAAAAAACAAGCTGGGCAAGTCCCTCGGACTCCCTGAAGTCGGCGGGCCTAACGGTAAAGTTTCCCTCTCAACATTTCAAACTAAAGTATCAAACAGTACCGTTGGTAAAGAAACAATTTCACATTTTTTAATTAGTCTGCACATTTGTGCCAGCACCCTTTCAGATAGTTCTAACAAGAAACATATTCATGCTTGTCTCAGGGAAAAACATGGATGAGGATGACAATACCAAGTCTGAGACAGCCAAGATGCAGAAGGAATACGAGAACCTGAGAGATTCGACCAAAGAGGAGCAGCCAACAGCCGAGAGCAGTCAGTCCTCCACCAACTCCTGATGATCTGCAGAAACATGACTATTTATCTTTGCTTTATATTGACCGATCATACAAGGTTTCCAATGTGCCAAAAGTATTTGTGCGTGTCTTTGTCTAGTTCATACGTTCACTGCACAAGTGAGTTCACATTTGGGTTGATCTGTTTAAAAAGCACTGTGGTCACAAATAGCATTTTACTTCTACACTGTGCATAGAAATGGGTAACATGTCATAACATTGTTTGTTTTTATTAAATAGTTCTGTATTGCTGTAAAGTTATGGTCTTCTAATGCACTACCACTCGTGTTCAGAATTGTGTTTAGCTTTGCATCAGATAGGCTAACAAAACAGCCAGACAAAGACATGAGATAACTAGAGAACTGTGTCTTTCTGCATAGTCAGACAACGTCAGGCAACAACACCGTGTAACAACATTAAGTAACATCACCATTGTGTAAAAACATCACGTGACAACAGCTGTGCAACAGATAAAGACTGCATTACGTGTTGACAGATTGTAACGAGAGAATAAGAACATTTGGACAAGTTTTAAAGACAAAATGACAACGTATTTTTGGCACATTTGGATTCTGATAAAATCAGCTCAAATGTTGGTGATCATCGTTGATTTCAACATTTTTACCCCATGAAAACTCAGCTGTTGTACATTTCATGACTCACTTTTATGTTTTTTCTTGTGCTTTAACGTTTTGTGCCTCATTAAATAAACGTACCATTCAAAAATAAACACAGCTAATTTTCATCACGTCATTTTAAAAAAGCTTTACAACTCTTTCAGTCCATATTACTCTTTAAATATTTTTATTTAAATTAGTTGTATCACACTGGGAACATTTTGTTTTTACGTTGCAAAGCTGAGAGCAAATAAACAACAGTCTTTAGCCCAAGCCAATCATAGTTAAGCCCCAGCTTGTCTCTGAACTAGGCCAGTCCAATAACACACAGCATGGCCCAGTCCCAGCCCTGCTGCACTGTGTGTATGCATCAATATAATACACACACACACACGATTGCACTTGCAGGAAAACAACAGGGAGAAATTTTTAATTAAATAATATTTATGGAAAAAATTTGCATTTTTCATTCTACATATTTAATCAGCGATCAGATCATTATGATGAACCAGTTTCTCAAATTTTTTAAATAAAATGTAGATTATTATTTATTCCTGTTCAGCATTATATTTTATTTAACCAGCTGCAGTGTTTCTCCTTTGTAAACCACCTTCTGTTTTACTCAAGAAAAAGCTAAAGTTTCATTTTCCTTCATGTGAATAATTGATAAATCTAAGACTGTGCTCTTTCTAGCTGATGAAATCAATGTTCTGCTGAGTGTTACAGTCTTTAAGAACACGTCTTAAAGAGCGTGTTTTATTTTAATGAGGAAGATTCTCGTGAGATCTTCTCAACAGTTTCTGTTTCTTTTAGCTCTAGACCAGCCCGGCAAGTCAGAGACGTATCTAGAGGCCATCAGGAAGAATATCGAGTGGCTGAAAAAACACAACAAAGATGATGGCAAAGATGGTGAGGCTTTTCTTTCGTTCTCTGTTTCCAGAAAAACCACAACAGCTGGTCCTGAATCAGTTTAAATCTGTGAAAATGTTTTTGCAGGTTGATCCTTATTCCCAGACTTCTCCAGTCTGCATACATTTTTATGTCTGATGTGGAGACTCTCATTGTTATTCTCAATTTGCATGTTAAAAGAACGCAGCACGCTTCATTTCAGACCTCATGATTATGGATTTCTCTAATGATGCCATCCTAATTGCTTGCCTGCTTCAAGACTCCTACCTACAGCTTGTGAAAAGATTTATTCTGATTATCACAGAAGCATAAAAGGCAGAGTTGGTGTTTTATTGCAATTTTAAAGCATTTTTAGAATGGTATATGATTTACTGTATTTGTGTACATTTAATTCTGCTTTTTATTCCTCAGAAAGCTACAATCATATTTAACCCTCTGGAGGCAGGTGTTGCAGATTTGCAACGTTAAAACCTACCTACCTGGTTACTCCACATACGTATTTCATGAGCATTTTTTAACTCAGAAGTACCCCTGAAGGACTTAGTTGTTCGTTCTTTTATCAAAACTTGTTTTGAGCCTGAGAGGGTTAAACAGCAGCGTTAGACGTAGACTCCACCATTCTGCAGAATGGTGTTAGTTTCCCTCACAGCGCTGCACTCGTTTTAACTGGGGGAGCCCACTACAGCCGGGCTCTCTACAGCGCAAAATCAATGCCCAGTGGCGCTTAATTAAACAGAGGAGAACGAATGCTAATGAGTTCTCATCATTGAGGCCATCCATCCACCAGAGATGATCTCAGTAGGACATCTCGGCTCAGAAAACAAAACATTCCAACTCAGTGATTTTAACTAACCAGTAACATCCTCTGATCTGAAAAAAGCATGATTGAGGAGGTTTAAGACAGAATAATTACACATAAAATCAAAGTTTGGCCAATTCATTCACCTTAATATTGAAGAAAAATAAAACATAAACAGGAAAGCATAACAGCAAAAGTGAAAAAGCTTGACACTGATGTCAGGGTTCCGAGGGGAGTAGAGGGATGCATCAGCAGGGGTGTTTTGTTAGGAGCTCATCTCTAACCTTGCCCTAGATAGGACACTTCATTAACATTCAAGAGTATGAAACGGTTGCCCGGGACAACAGGGGGGTACCCTCCTGCCTGTCAGTGAACCGAAACAGACATAGTAGTAGAAGGAGAGACTGATGCAGTCAAAAGTAACCCAACATCCAATTTTCCCAGGGTCCAAGCCCATTACTGTCTAAAATAAAGCAGCATCAGGACCTTCTTGTGTTACATGATGTTCCTCTTTGAAGGCCTCGTCTTTGTTCTCTTTGAGAGACAACAAAAGGCTTCTCAGATGAAAACAAAGTCAAAGAAACAGAGTGGAACACAAACCATTTATTGTGTTTACTCTACCAGAAGCAGCCATTAGGACCATCTCAGCAGACTAGGAGTGTGTGTGTGTGTGTGTGTGTGTGTGTGTGTGTGTGTGTGTGTGTGTGTGTGTGTGTGTGTGTGTGTGTTAATGAGTTCTGATAAGCGTGTGTGTGTGTGTGTGTGTGTGTGTGTGTGTGTGTGTGTGTGTGTGTGTGTGTGTGTGTGTGTGTGTGTGTGTGTGTGTGTGTGTGTGTGTGTGTGTGTGCGAGTGTGTGTGTGTGTGTGTGTGTGTGTGTGTGTGTGTGTGTGTGTGTGTGTGTGTGTGTGTGTGTGTGTGTGTGTGTGTGTGTGTGTGTATGTACGCCCACGCACTGCAAAGATTAACCAGAGCAGCAGATGGACACAGAGGCAACATCCTGGTTTTGGCTCTTTGCCCTTTACAGTCCTGGCTGTGAGAAGAGGAGCGTCTCTAATCACGTTCTGTTAAAACTCTGGTTTCCAGCACAGCAGCTGTATTTCTAAGTGATGTGACACAAGTGGAGTGTTGGGAGGTTTCAGGGATGATCTTTTGGATGGCCTCAATCCTTTTTTTTTTTTTTACATTTCGGTGAGTTAAAGCATAAAGAGACTGCTGATGCTGTTTGATTTAAAACTGTTTATTTTTAGCTTTTGCTAAATCATGTTCAGTGTTTTCACTGTAAAAGTTATGTTATTACACGATTTTTACATCTTAGTGTCAGACAAACATCCTCTGACCTTAATCCTCTGGGAAGCTTGTCTGGGTGGTGCGTCTCAGAGGGGCAGGGCATCAAGAGTTTACCGTCTGATATTTCCACTAACTTCTTTGACCTTGATGAACTTCATTTAAACGCCCGATTAAAACCTTTTACTCATCTTCCTGCGCCCTCCAGATTATGACCTGTCCAAGCTGAAGGATTTCATGGATCAGCAGGTGGAATCATATATCGAGAAGGGAATCATCGCCAAAGACGAAGGCGACACAATCAAGAGGATCTACGGCAGCCTGTAAGAGATCCGATTTTGGAACAAAGAACTGAGTTTGACGAGGTCTCCCTCCAAAACCTCGGCTGCTTTCAGTGATTTCAAACAGTATGATAATTAAATGCTGTGTATTTAAAACTGCTCTCACACACAATCTCAAAATGTCCCAAAACATAGGATTAGATATGACAACCAACAAAATAGATTATAAAAATGATCCCAACTGTTATTATTTACACCCTAAGATTACTGTTTACTAGAGTATTACGATGAGCTATCAGAAGTATAATTTCTCCAACGAGACTAGTAGGAGTAAAAGGTTTGGGAGTATGAAGGAGCTTTGCAATACCCTCCTTCATCCACTTGTAGTGCAAACACACACCAACCAAATGATACTAAGCCTAACATACTTATTTCAGTGCATATGTTTGACTTTAATGTAATCCTGCTTTTTAATTTTATCAAAATGAACGTTGTGGTGTTTTCATGTCTGTGCACCTTGTACGAGCCCTTTCTGTTGAGCTGTAATTCACCTGAGTCCCACTAGAGGACGATGTCTGACACACCTCTGCATGTCTCAAGATGAAGTATTTCTAATTGTAAATAATTGTGATTTTTGTTTTCCTAAGGTTCTAAACAGCTAATAAAACTTTGTCTTTTCTTTGTTTGCTATTGTGACTTTTTCCCCCAACGAAGAATCTATTATCAAGATCTCAGGTGGGCAAAACAAAGATCTGAATTAGGATAAAACACACGTGTTTGACTTAAATACACATTTATTTCCCTCGAATACAACAAAAAGTTAAAATCACAATAAAACAGCTGTTACAGACAGTTCTCCACACACATAAATAATGCATTCACACTCCAAAAATAGAGCTCTCTGCCCTCTGTTAAAAAAAAAAAAAAAAAAAGCTTTTATGAGGCAAATGAGACACATTCAAAGGTTCGAGTCCGAGAGTCTGTCGCCTCTGTTTTGGGGATTTGAGCTCATTCATGGGTGAACACTGATGAGGAAGGCCTGAATATACCCTCCAGTGATCCTATTCTACAAGGAGCTTTAGAACATCAGAAGCGTTTAGCAGGTCGAGCTAATCCTTACTGGAATCGCTTAGCGCACCACGTTTGAGTGCAGCAGGTGTGTGTTCTGTACAGCAGCTTCACAGATGCACGCTGGGCGGGCACACGTCCTCAGACAGCTGGTAAAACTTTAAAAAACAAAGTGAACCGTAAAATACATCAAAACAGGTCAATAAATAAGAAGGCAAACATGACACTTGTTCAAAACTGGTAAACACAAAAAGATGGAGGAAACAAACAAGCATGAGGTTGATTTTGTGTAAATCCAGGCGATTGCTTCAGGTAAACGTGCTGTTCATCTAGATCTCCTGGTAAGCTGATTCAGGGGTCATGAAGTTCTCCTCTTTGCTCCTGTGAACGTGGAAACACAAAGGTATCAGGTCTACATGGAAGGTTAAAACTTTGTTTTACGGGTCCACACAGTGTGTGTGTGCGTGCGTGTATGTGTGGAAAAATAAATGAGGCTACCCAAACAGCACAGAGCTCTTCTGTCCATCCTGTACTGCTGTAGTGCTTTAGACATTAGTGATAAAACACACTTTGTTATATGTCACCATATTTATGTAGTTGTGGTTGTCATCCACAGGACAGGTAATAAGAAGTGAGGAACAGAAAATTAAATAATTATTTTAATGTTTAGAGCAGCAGAAACTCTGAGAGGCTGCCGGCGCATCAGTGTGGCCGCTACGTGTGTGTGTGTGTGTGGGGGTGGGGGGGGGTGGGGGGGGGGGGGGGGGCTGAAGCAGGGAACAGTAAGATGCAAAAACTATCGTTGTTGAAAGAGATGTGTTTAACTTAGAAAATGTGGGCGCAATTTCACTTGTCAAAAACTCCAGGGAACCAACCAACTAGTCGAAGTCGACTCGATTTTCATTACTTGACGGTTGACTTTAAAAAAAAATTAAGTCACGCAGCCCCTAGTTAAAATCAGAAACTACGCTTGTCACTAGGCCACCATAGATAGGCCTAAAATTAGGACAATTTAGGATAAGTGTCCAAGAGATATTTTGATTGCTATTAAAAACACTTCTTTTTCTACTTGATCAATCAGTCACATGACCCAAGCATGGACAGACAACGCTGCTGTAATGTCACAGTTGGGAGGAAGTGCGCTATTCGTGTTTTTATACATAGTTGATGCTTGGAAACACAATGAAAATGTAACTTAGAGGTGTGGTTTGCTCATTTAATCAATACATTTGCAGTGATCTTTAGTAGGAGGAATGGATGCCTTGAAAGTCGTACTCGGTACCAAAGCCCTGCTCTGCCTGTTTCAGGAACTAGAAGATTGTCAGATAAGAGGAGAGCTTCAGACAGCGGGATTTGGAACCTTACTTCCTGATATTTGGACATCTCACCTCTAATTGGCTAACAGAAACACGACTCTACCACTGACTCAGTTTAATCTGCAACATTCATGTTTTATCTCCACAAATAAAACAAGCCTGGAGGAGATCTGTCATGTGATGGAGTTGCTAATGCTAACAGTTAGCTTCTACTAGCCGAGATGTACCCTGCTAGCCTAGTGAACTTGACCAAACTCCTGCTTTGCAAAGAATGTTCCATCGGAACCTCCCCCTAGCAGCCTTCTGGCAGGCCAATCACAGCTCTCTATTGGGGTTTCAAACCGACAGAGTGCTGTGATTGGTCCATAGTTGTAGGCCAATTGCAACACTCTTATCAAGTTTGAGGGTCAATCACAGCACTCTATCAGCTTTGTGGGCCAGTCAAGGCGCTCTATTGGTTTGGTGGGCGGGATGATGCGACGGAACGAAACAAAATGGCGACAGCTTGTTTGAAAGGACTTTTACATCAATTTTGGACTATTTGCACTTGGGCTTTATTAGAATCAGGGACAGATAGATGCATTTAAGTTCTTTATTTAGAAAAAAAGATGTTTTGTCGCCTTCTTCAACTACACACTGCCACATTGACCGAGATGTGTTGCGGTGAGTAAGTCACATTGTTTGTTGTCCAGTAGCATGCAGAGATCGTTACAACGGTAGAACCTGCCCCACGACCGAGAACCGTAGACGCCCAGACTAAATAATATATTTATTTAGTCTGGTTTTCCAGGCTAGTTCTCTGCAGCTCCCTGGACGATAAACCAACAGCCTTCCCTGTCGTGAGTCGAGATGGGTGAGTCCATGAACGCAAAGTGACAAAGTGATGTAGATCTGTCAGGTTTTTCTAATCCTAGATTTTCACCGTCCATTTTCTATCAGAAGCTAATGCAGGAGACAGGTGTAGGAGACTGTTTTCATGTTCACCCTGCAAGAAAAACTCAGAGCAACAGATTATGATCAGGAATAATAATAATAAATGGTTTATCAGTGAACTACGCCTTTAAATCTGCATTACGTAAAAACAAATAACACCTAAATAAAAATGAAAAACATATTTCCTGTAAGTCCGACACATTTAGAGTTTGAGAGTCACAAAGAGAGAGATTGTGAAAAGCATGTTGAGACAAATCTTTTAACTGGCAGGCGGTCCGGTGTGAGGTCATGTCTCCCACCACTCTAAGGAAGCAGCACAGCTCCTACAGCGGGAACAACTTGGTCCTAAAATAACCAAATTAAACACTTTGAGGAGCCTGAAGTGGAAAGATGGTGTGTGTGTGTGTGTGTGTGTGGTGTGTGGTGTGTGGGTGTGTGGGTGTGTGTGTGTGTGTGTGTGTGTGTGTGTGTGCGTGTGCGTGTGCGTGTGTGTGTGTGTGTGTAGAAGTGTCTGCTGCAGTGTGATTCAGGCCTAAATACAAAATAGCACCAACTGCAGCTTTATCTCTGTGAATGGACCCATACCAGAAGCCCATTACTACTTCACTGCTGAGCAGGCATGAGTGTGTTCGGTCTCAACACAAAACACACTCTCACTGCAAATCTAAATACCCGACTGTTGCATCATCACAGCCTAGTGTGACAGACTGGCTTCAGTCCTTCTGCTGGAAGGTTTCTACACACGGTTCCTCCTGAGTGGGACTCCCGACTAGAGGTTGACCGATTTTGTTTTTTCTATTATTAATGCCGATATGTTGGAGACATGGTCAACCGATGACCGATACGTACTGATTTCCCTGGACGATTTCTAGAAGTTTTCCACTCTATTTTCATGCTAAAATGTTACTAATAACATCAGTTGATGCACAAAATTTCTTAAGCTGAATCAGGTTTTGAACACTGAATTTAACTGTTAAATCTTAACTTTGTGCACTGCTCAGTGTTAAAGTCAGACACCTGAACAAAGTTCATTTTGAGTATTTATTATGCAGATGTTATTAGTGAACATAAAAATGCCCGAGGATGTGCCTGACTTATTAGCAGATGTACTAAATACAGTAATCTGCCCAATATATCCGTCTATCTACCCCTTCTCCTGACAATCACCCACTCAGCTCAAAACCAAAGTCTGAGCCCCGTTTTCCACAAGCCAGGGGCTATCTGAGTAGACCTGTAGGTTGGTGAGCTGGGATCAGCAGCTGGGGCGACGGATGCACAGGAGCTAAGTGCTCGCCCCGTAATCGGAAGGTTGCAGGTTCAAGCCCCGCTCAGTCTGTCGCTGTCGTTGTGTCCTTGGGCAAGACACTTAACCCACGTTGCCTGCTGGTGGTGGTCGGAGGGACCGGTGGCGCCAGTGCTCAGCAGCCTCGCCTCTGTCAGTGCACCCCAGAGCAGCTGTGGCTACATCGTAGCTCATCACCATCAGTGTGTGAATGGGTGAATGACTGATTGTGTTGTAAAGCGCCTTGGGGGGTTCCAGGACTCTAGAAGGCGCTGTATCAAATACAGGCCATTTACCATTTAGGCTAAAAAGCTATAAAGTGGCAAAACACAGAATCCATTCATGCATGGACTCCACTTGATGTGCTCCTGTCCAAACTAAAGACTACGATCAGAGCTGGATTGTAGCATGAAGCTAGTTATTTGGCCTTCACCAGATTAAGAAAAAGTAATTTCCTGCTTATACTCTCCACAAAATAAAAGCCAGTCGTCACACCCATGGTAAACACAATCTGAGGAAGCTGAACAAACACACATCGGATTTAGAAATAAAATGTGACACACACACACACACACACTTCAAATTCAGAAACTTTCTAGCGTTATGTGATGTGAAAGATGCAGCTGGTGGTTGTCACCTCACCTTACTTCCTCTTCTTTCAGCCTGCGCGCCGCCTGTTTTGACTGTTTAATTTGCAAGTCCAGTCTGTGTAGAAAGTCTTTGGCCGAAAGCTCCTCTGGCTGAGGCTGAATGGGTTTGGAGTCGTCGGAATGGGGAGGGGAAGAGGGCGGCGAGGGTCCCTCAATGTCATTCATCATGAGATGGGGCGTGCCCGTCTCTTGGCAGGCTGCTTCACCGTCCCCGTCAGGAGACTCCAGAGACAGTCCATTAAAAACAAAGCGCTTCTCCGACACCACAGGGATGTTCAAGCTGTTCTTCAGGAAGATGCAGTCGTTGCTGAAGAGCTTGTTGGCTCTTTTGATTTGCTCCATCTGGAAGATTGGTGCAACAAAGGGAAAGTTTTACAGGGATGTGAAAACGGTTTTGTTTGATTGTGGCGGTGGGTGATGAAGGAAATGAGGAAGTGCCATCAGAACAGGAAGCAGGTACAGGGTTTTTAGATGTAAAGAGGACACCATCTTGTTCCTTTTCAGTGCTGCAGAAAAGGTGGGACAAAAGGCTGCTGAGGTGTAATATGACAGTAATCAAATTACATATCCAGCTCACACACCATGGATCGGGAACCTCCTTTGCCACTGAAGACAATCAAACCCTAGAACTTGGATGCTTTAACACTTATTTATTAACCACAACCAGCATTCTGCTTTTGTGTGTCCTCTAATCTGCAGCAGCTTCTGGAGCTGAGAAACTGGGAGTAAAGTCAAGAACTAAAACCGTGTAAAACTCCTCACAGCTGCAAACATCTAAACTCTGATGGTCTTTGACATTTCTGTAAACAAAACTAAAAGTGTCCAGCTATGAGGACCGCAGTGTGGTGACGTGGTTGCGTTATTTTATCACTTAGGGTGATTTGTTACACTAACAGTTACGTAATTAGTGAAACATTAAAGTCCGAACTACCAGAGCTGCCTCACCGTGACGCCGTACTTCAGGGCGATCCCTTGCAGAGTATCGTTGTCTGTAACCCGATGCTCCATGTATTTCTCCCCCAGCGAGGCCGTCACGCTGGCTGTGCTTCCATACGAGCGGATCTTGGTTCGGGCCAAGCTCTGGGAAAGTTCGCTCTCTGACTCGGAACCGGACCTGGACCGTGGGAAGATGGGCTGGGCAAACCGTCCTCCTCCATCCCGCATCGGTAGGACTGGTGAGAACTCCGCCATCTTCGGCTGAATAAATAAAGAGCACCGTTAGTTACCTCCGCTGGCTTTGACGCTCCCGACGACTCGCTACATTAAAGCTAAACAGGTAGTTTAGGCCGCAGGGAGAGCTCCATCCCGGGTCACATCGGACACATCAGCCCAGGGGACAGGAGACATGTTTGGGGAGCACAACCTCACGCAGCCCGCTGCTGTCATAGCATAGAGCCGCTATGTTGACGTAAAAACGTAACGACGTACGCACGTTCACTCGTTGGTAGAGACAATTTCCGGTTACTCTTTCAAAATATTTTACAGGTCACAGAGAAAATGGGAATCCTGTAATAATAATTGCAGTGACAACAACAAATTAATATCTCAAGCGTAGCTTCATTAAATATAGACATTTTTACTAAAACAACAACAGCATTATTATTATTATTATTATTATTATTATTATTATTATTATGTTTATTTATTTAGCAGACGCTTTTATCCAAAGCGACTTACAATTTATAACCTATAGGGCATGTTGTGATCTGTGGGGGAAACCGGAGTACCCGGAGGAAACCCACGCATGCATGGGGAGAACACGCAACTCCACGCAGAAAGGCCGCAGCCGAGTTTCAAACCTGCAACCTTCGTGCTGCAAGGCACCAGTGCAAACAACTGCGCCACCATGCAGCCCATTATTATTATTATTATTAAACCTACAACCCTGTACTTAACGAGCTACCGCTTTATATATATATACACACACACCAGACAAGACCCAATGTGTAGTAGGCTATGCAAAGAGTCCCCTGAGACAATCCACCACATACCTACAGGGTGCTGGCAGGGAAAGCATACCTGGAACGCCACGACCAAATGTGTGCAGGGTATGGACTGGAAGCCCCAAGGTCAAAGTGGGTAACACCCCCTAAGGTGGTTGAGAATGAGAGAGCCGAGCTCTTGTGGGACTTCCAGATCCAGACCGACAAAATGGTGGTGGCGAACCAATCGGACATTGTGGTGGTGGACAAACAACAGAGGACATCCCTTGTGGTTGATGTGGCAATACCAAGTGATGGCAACTTCATGAAAACGGAACATGAGAAATTAGAGAAGTACCAGGGCCTCAAAGAATAACTTGAGAAAGACATTGGTGGTGCCCGTGGTCATTGGGGCACTCGGGGCAGTAACCCCCAAACTGGAGGAGTGGCTAAAGAAGATCCCGGGAAAAACATCAGACATCTCACTCCAGAAAAGTGCAGTTCTAGGAACAGCGGAGATACTGCAGAACCCTCAAGCTGCCAGACCTCTGGTAGAGGACCCAAGCTTGGAAGGATGAGACCACCCGTGGTGGGTGAGATGGGGAACGTGTGTGTGTGTGTGTGTGTGTGTGTGTGTGTGTGTGTGTGTGTGTGTGCGCGCGTGCGTGCGTGCGTGCGTGTGTGTGTGTGCGTGTGTGCGTGCGTGTGTGTGTGTTACTATGACAAAATACATTTAAATAACTTTTGTAAAAAATTAAAATAGATAGTTTTATCAAACAATACATTATATTGACTGAGAGGGTGAAGATGTCCCCTCACCATTCCTCTACTGGAAGACTGAAGCTGTAAATTCACACTGAGTAGAAACATTTATCAGGTCTTTGAGAACTCTGACCCTTGCATGTGACATCTGAACTCAAAGCTCAGAGTAATGACATGAGGCAAGTTAAAAAGTCCTTTGATCAATAAGAACACAAATATTGTCCACTTATAACACATTAGAGAAGTATCAGGGATTTTCCTAAAGTGGACAATTTTTAACTAAGAACAGATATTAATGCACTGAACAACCCCCGTAGTCAAAACAAAATGTTAAAACAAAGAGAAAAATAAAAGAACCTACTTGTTCCAAACTAACTGGATCATGAGGTTTTAGATCTGGACAACCAATAGGAACATCTGGCTACTGGGGCTCTTTTTTCACTTTCTTAGGAAATGTTGTTTCTTCTTTGGTTTACATTTTATGAAATAAATCTAATTTATTTCACACAATCTCTCGCCCATCTCTCCCTCCACCTCTGGTATGACCTCATGTTTTGAGTGTGACATTAATAAATGTACATATTTCACATCATAACACTTCACTGTCAGATTTTTTCATTGTCATGTCATTGTTACCTTGCATTTGTTTAAGGCAAGGCAAGGCAGCTTTATTTCTATAGTATATTTCATACACAGAGACTATTCGATGTGCTTTCCATTAGCAAGAACATTAAAATCAACGTGACAGGAAATACAATTTAAAAATTAAAATAAACTAAATTAAAGTTAAAGGGTGAGCAAATACAGAAGGTGCAGCATAAGAACAGTCATTCAAAGGCTGATGAATACATGAAGGTTTTTAATTTTGATGTACATGTTTCTAGAGTTGGGACACATTTGAGGCAATGAGGAAATCGATTACATCTGTGTGGGCAGCATGGTAGCTAAAAGCAGCTCCACCCTGTTTGGTTCTGACCCGAGGTTCTACCAGGTCTTGTCTGGACATGAGACCCCTGGGTCTTGCTATTTGATGCAGATGAAAAAATGCTGATCTAGTTATAGCCTTAATGTGAGCAGTGCAGCTCAGGTCTGAGTCACTTATGACAAGGGTTGCAACAGGAAATGCATGGCTCATGTTCAGTAGTGCTGGATGTGCAAGAAGGTCAGTCAGAGAGATTTGTAAATGGACACACAATCCCACAGAGAACTGTTTACGCTGTAAAATAGGTCAAAGTGACAAATTATATTTTTTACATAAATTAGTACTTTTAACTTGTCAAAGTCTCAGTTATTGCATCGTTACAAGATCTGAATCTGACTCTTTTATGTGGCTATTGTGATGACTCATTTGTGACTCCAAATAAACAAACAAATCCCACCAGAGATATTTGACAACCAGTGTAAGAAGCTGTGAAAACCAGTGCTTGTCGCATCACTTATTCATTACTAGATGGACTGAGAGTGTACATTTTCACTATCACCTGTTGATGCAGTCTGTCCTTTCTCTATTGTTGGTTAAAGTAAGATGGCTCTCTTAATTTGGTAGGGATAACTTTTCGTTCAGTTTTAACAAATACTGGCTTGTAATAGGGTAATAAGTGTTAATGATAACAATAGTGATCAAAGTTACCCATAAGAAAGAGTCATTATTTAAGAGGATGCTGCAGGTACCTGCACTTCAGGTTGCACTTCGATCAAAGCTGTGAGGAACCATCGCTGGAGGCAACAAGTGGATTCCAGATCAATGAATAGTTTATTTATCCAATCAGTCTTTCCTGGTTATACTTGTAGCAGAGCTAATCGCACCACCTGACATTTTCTGATGTAAATCAGGTCATTAAACTTGTGTAAGGGTACAATGACGGAGCAGGGAGAAGGAGCTTGGCACATCAATTATTCATCATGTTCCCATCCTGACATGTGGCTGTTTAGATTGAACTGCAAATCGGTTTAAAATTCATGAAACGTGCATGATGTAGTTTTAGTAATTTAGTCCACACAAGGACACAGGTCTGCTTCATCAGTTTAAAATTCATTAAAACATCAAAATATAAGATGGACCAGTTTTTCTGCCATGTGGTATCCATGACAACAATCAGCCTCCAAATCCATCCACACCTACAGGTTTTAAGGAGGGAGATTGCGTCCTGAGCCGTATCAGCCTAATAAATAGGTTATAGTTTGTGGGTAAACTGAATTTACTCTTTCAGATTTTGGATTGTTGCTGTGAGAGACACTAGCCTAATTTTGTCAATATTTTTTTCAAGGAAAGCAAAACTTAGATTTTTTTTTATAAAAAGATAAATTTTACTACAAATTTAAAGAAATCCGCAACATTGATTCAGAATACAGAAATCCAAGTACACATTTTTTCATTAACTAGTTTAATTTATTTTACCTTGATTTTGGTTAATGTAATTTTGTAAGGTCCCTAAACTAAACCTTATCGTTAGCCTTCAAAGACACGGGAATTTGCGCCCTCCGCTGGCAAAAGCTAGAACAACACGCTAGAAGGGAAGGTGGGGAGTTGTTACTCTCCTCCAAATTGTTCTACACTTTTCTTCAGTTATGGTTTAGAGACGTGGGTACGTAGACGCTGGAGAGCGTAACAGCGTCGCCGCCATATTGGATGGGTCTCCTTACTCTCCAAAGAGTGTAGCCTGGCCAGCCATGCCAATGCTTCCTTATGGGAAGTCTCGTCCTCTGTGTAGAATAGGCAGAGGGTGAGTCTGGCAGGCCAGGCTATGTAGAGTGGGCAACAGTTACTATGCCCTTCTTGCGCAGCCCACGGTAGCAACCACCCTCACATGGTGTCTACGTACCAGACTGTCTCTCTCGTAATTTTTGGGCCAGTTTAGTCAGTTTCTTACTGACCCCTGCTGGACATTTTTGTCTTTACATGCTCCTGATTGAAGTTGCATGTTTCTCCCAGCAGATAGCGCAGATAAACCACCAGTTTATATGAAAAGTTTTCCAAACTGACAGTTTGTTACATTACATTTACAAATTACAAATTAAAGAATTAAGAAAATATCCAAACAAAAATGTTTAAAAAAAGAGTTTTTTTCATCTCAAAAATAGAAAACTGGCCTTTCTGCTGAAGGGAAGTGGCTGTGTAGATCTGTTTCAGCTGTACACAACATATTTGTTTATCTAAAGTTAGAGCACTTTATTGTTTGTTTGTTGCCTCACAAAAGTTGTTTTACTTTCTATGCAACCAGGTTACCCAGGTGAGACTTTAAAGCTGTTATGACCAAAGGACAAAGCGGCTCTGGTTTGGGTTACCTGTGATTATTTAGATGCATCTTCCATTTATTGGGGCTTTTAGAGTCAGAGACCAAATAGTCACAGATGCTGATTCATTTATTACACAGCCTTAGATGTAGTGTTAGAAAGAAGAAACCCAATCCCTTTCTGTCCCCTAAAATTAAAGTCATGTGTTACATGAGGCTTCATTCAGCGATTCTTTTTTTTAATGTGCTGCAGACTTTCCATTCTTTTGTCTTTCTTGTAATCAGTGAGCCTTTGAAGTGCATGAGGGTCATATTAGAGAGACTCTTAAAAGCTTTGTTCTTGGCAGCACCTGCAGGTCTGGCTCTGATTCTGATCCTATGCTGCACATAATATGCAGCTATAGATTTTCCAGGCTTGGATTTATTTGCTCAAATGTCTGTTTTATGTGCTCTGCTTTTAAATTACAAGCTAAGCTGGGTGAAAATCTTCTAAGACACATGGACTCCTACTTATGAAACCAAACCACAAATAAAGACTTGGACTCATTCAGTTCATTTTTCCACATGTGGAGGCAGAACTTCATGGACCAGATGAGCTTCCATAACAGCTCATGTGTCTATTTTACTCTGATCCGTTTTTCCTATGAGATGAGGACTTTTGTGTGATCAGCAGAAACGATAGAAATCTTTTGTTCTTTCTTCTCCACTGAGTGGAAACATCTGAGTCATTCACCCCTTCACACTCGAGTTTTCTGCCAGCAATTTTTCCTCTGACAGTATCTCACCGCAGCCCTCTGGCACAGGAACTCACAGAGGGATGGAGTCTTGTGGATTACATCATCTTTCAGGCATGCGCAAACAATCTGAAAACTGGATCCGATTAAAGGTTGCAGATGTACACCGCCTGGGGATCCTCCAGAACCACAAGGCCTGTCAGTCATTAAAAACTCTAACAGGAGGTCTGGAACTTCACAAAAGGCATGCAGGGGTTTATAAACCAGCTTAAAACAGCAACACAAATCTCTGATTGCTGGCCTGTTAACTATTAATATTCCCTGTTTTCTCCCCGTTACCACCAGGTTTTTACGTTTTATGACTGATCGGCTCTTATAAAGAATTCCTGCACCTGAAACACAAGTCCGGTTGTCTCAGCAAACGAGTTATGCATTAAACGCAAAACTGAAAATGAGCACAATTTCAGACACAGTTGAGCAAATTTAGCTCCTAAATGTTTAAACAGGAACATAAATCTATAATTTGTGATTTTTGAAGTCTCCCTTGTTTGTTCAATGATTTAAAGCAGTTCACATTTTTTATGGAGAGTAAAAACAAACACTTTTACATCTCTGCCTCTAACAGGATTGGTGCATTCCTCCAAAACCCTTCAACATGTCATCTCCCCCTGGTGGAGGACCTCAGTACTGCTTAAAACTAACAATTCACTTATATTTTTCCACATCAGCAAAACATTTCAGTGAAAATAGGATCATATAATTCACACTTATTACCATCAGTCTTCTGTTGATACATATGGAAATAAAAAAAAATAAACACATTGTCTAAACTGTTTAGCGGAATAACAAACAAGCAAAAAATTCACATTTGTGAATTAGGAAAAAAAGACACAAGGAATATGTATAAACATTTATTGATGAGGATGTTTTATATTAAGCAGTGCTTTTCATTTCCCAGTCTTGTGGGGTATTCTTATAATACACATTCCTTTGTGTTAACACCTTGAAGTTTAAAACAAAATCTCAGCAGTGATGCGTTTACACGTGTGTATCTGTGTGCATAACTTCCATGTGAGATGGCATTTTACAGTTAATATACATAGTATGAACCACAGAATGCTAACAAGCCCAAGCAAAAACAAAAAAACAAAAACAAAATAAGTTTCCCACCTTTAAGTGAGCATCTAAAGAAAATAATTAAAAAACAGGAATGTAGGAACAAAATATTTCACCTGAAAGTAGCAGATAGGAAAAAGTGCACAGATATGAAACCCCAAAGTAAATCTATTTTTAAGGAATGTGAGGCCAAGAGGAAAGAAAACACGGTTTTGGTTTACAGAAACACGGTGTTCACAAGTGACGACTTCATGCCAGCATATAGTTCCTATAAACAGTATGTACAAGCTTCAAGTAACTCCTGAATAAGTTCCGTTTTGACCATCTGAAGCAGGTTAGTGTAACCGAGAACTTCATTTGATGCACACGTTCTAAAACTGAGAATCAAAGCATTATAGGCATGCAAGTGAAGGAATTAAAACCTGTCTGTGAGATGAAGTCCTATGGGGCATTTCATAAGCAACCTGAGAGGAAAGTGTCACATCTACTGGACTAAAATGATGATTTTATTGTGAAAGGCCAGAAAGAAAGGGGCAAAGAATAGGCTGTAAAAAATATCTTTGTAATTTTTACAAACGGACTCCATATCCTCAGATCTGCACTATGAAGGAAAACAAAGTCCAGTATTGATATTTCTGCACCTCGTTAGTCTTTGGCATAACTGAGCATCAGAGACAAAAAGCACATGCAGCTGATTAAAACCTTTTCTAATTGGAACAAGATCTTTTTTGGAATATAATCCCACTTTTGTGTAATAAAAACATCAAAAATGAGTTTGCTTGTTTTTTAGAGGCAGAGAAACTTGCATTAGAGTTGTAACCGTATCAAAAGAAAACCTTTAGTTAGATTTAACAAACAAAAGAATATAGAATACATTAGTTACAGGTTATATTATACAAATAGGGAATTAAACAGGTGTTTAGATGGTATTTTAGCAGACTTTGTGATCAAGCTTGTAGTCTCGGCTGGACTGCAGAGAAAGACGAGCTTTAAGTTGCTCCTTTTGGAACACACCAACACGAGAGTGCTACCTTCACAAGGCCCCTCCTGCAAACATTTCATGTAAAACGGGCATGCTCTCCTTCACGCGAGTCATTAGATCTGAGCATCAACTTCAGGATGGTTCAAAAATCAAACAAACTGCTGCTTTAGTACATCAATCCAACTCAAAGCTGGACCCAAACCGCAAGCCCAGATGTTCCTCAGCGTTACGTTCTAATGGTGTGTTATTGGTGATGATCATGATTAGTTCAAATCATTACATAAAATGGAAAATCAAATTAAAAAGGCTAAACAGCTACTATAAAGGCTCAAAATAGGATCAGCTGAAATGAAATGTCTAAAAACTAATAAGATGTACATCTTCAATAACAACTTAATAACAAATAAAAGAACAGACAAAGGGGTGGGGGGGCATTTCCAGTTATTTCCCTTCTTCTCAGATGCATCTTCAGCTTAAGCGCGCCTTGCTCTGTAGTTTGGCACAGGACTAAAATTTGCACACAGTGAGATGAGACCAGGGCATTGGCTGAAATCATTCCACACCACGAGATGAAAAGCAGGATTGGCTCGGAAAAAGGTTGTACCGCTTCACTACAGGTCCCCCTCCACTCGCCTCCTGCGGACTAGAATGAAAAACATAAATAAAAAAAACATGTCAGTAAACAGATTTCGCAGCATTAAAACAAAACAAACAGAACCAAATGAAACATGCTATGCAGAATGCTTGTCTCATCCTCGCACATTCCTGTTAGTTTATCCTGAGGAAACAAAGTGAGTCGTCGGGAGCTGTGTGATCAGAGTTCAAACGGTCTCAACAGCGTGTGTCAGCATGTACAAGATGCAAGTGTGATGTCATCACTCTCAAAGCTGTAAGACCACATGGTGGCAATTTTCAAACACAGCTAAAGCCGTGAATGCTCAGATCAAACGCTGTGAAACAAGTCTGCTATCGTCTACGTCTCGGCACACCCATGCACCAGACCTGTGCTATGGCAGCTCTGACAGGGGGAGGAGCTACAAGAGAGAGGAGAGTTTATTACTGGAGACTGATGGCTTGTGGGAAATTCACAGTTCAGTCAAACCCTGATAACAATTTGATTTACATTCTCATTACAGGAAATGAAGAAACTCAACCGTTTCCTTTAAAAGAGAATAAACGTTTCTGTGTGCATCCTACCTAGATCGTTGTTCTTGGTGATGGCAGCAGCAGCCCTGGACCGAGGTCCTTGCTGAGTGAAGTGGTAGCCAAACTTCACTATGCTTTTGTTCTGTTCCAACATTTTAGCTATCTCCATCTCTACGGAGGTCCCCAGCTGCTGCCTCTGAAGAACAAGAACACCGAGGTCAACACAACAGTTACAACTTCACTTTATTCTGCAGGAGCAACAAGGAACTCTGACCAAATCATACTTCCACTTCCTTACTTTCAGCTGGAGACTCTTAGTGGTTTGTGTTTGCTGACATTTTCTACCAAAAATAACCACTTACTATAAATTATACAGATACTACAGCTGGGAAAAACCTTTACAAGTTAATGAGTACTCCGATATTTATCCACCCTGTATCCGTTTCTGTTCAGGGTGATGTGATAATTTATATATATTTTTTTACATAGATTATACCATGATTGAGTCGTTTTAGTTGAGTGATACGACAAAGTTTGACTGTGATGAATTAAAACGCATCCTATATTATAGAGGCTGGTTCAGAGCCACCGTTCCACAGTTTAACTAATTGGTGTTAAAAGTGGGCTCGACTGTGTTTACACATCCTGCAATGTTGCCATCTTAAAGCATCCCACTGAAACACAAAAACCAAAGACCCGATTCAGAGGAATTCTTTATTATGAATCTGCTGATTTTTAAAGGGGCATTATGGAAGTTTGACAGCCAAAACATGTATAGAAATAATAAATTTCTTCTTCATACATTCTCCTGCAATGTCCTGGTCCTGTAGAATGAGTCCTGGCATTTTTACTGTGATTGCCTGTGTTTATTTAAAATCACAGAAAAAGAGAGCTGCTCGGGTCGAGCAGGCTGCTGAATTCACAGATAAAAAAGATGTGGGTTGATCTGAGCATGCAGGAGGACTGACCCATCTTAAACCTTTGTCGGCTGTGCTGAAGAGAAAGGTACAGAACCAACTTATTTAATTAATTAGCTGCACGTTCTCCTGTCCCCCCCCCCCACACACACACGACTGTCTCAGCTGTTATTTTCGTTAAGGAGTGTGCACGTACAGCAGGCACGCCTCGTGCACGAGCCTACTATTGAAGCTGCCGTTACGCTTATAGCCTGAGGGGGCAATCACGAGCATAAAAATTCAAAACTCCGTAAAAGAAGCTCGTCTTTGTTTGCTTAATGGGCTCGACACACGGGAGGCGACATCGCTCTCCTCCATTCATTTTCAATGAGACATGCGCGGCAAAGCGATAATCGCGGGTCTCCCTCCTACTAAGCGAAACGCGAAAAACGTGCGTGTGAAATTTTGTGCTCGTGCACGTGTCGTGCACGGACGACCCAGCGACGCGATCCCAGAAAGTTGAAACATTTTCAACTTTTCATCGCTGTCGCTTGGACGAGGACCAATCAACGGAGGTTTCATTCACTGACCAATGAGCGGACAGGATGCTCCGTACACCTCCGAGCAAACATGGAGGAGAAGTTGATTATTATTATGTTTTATATGGTAAAATCAGAAGTAAGATTTCACATAACTCTAACAGCACCTTGTGAAACATCACATCTACTGCTTTATTATCTACGAACTGCTTAAATAACCTTAATTCCCTCCAACCTGACACAGCCAAGTAAAACAACGGAAGTTTTGCGCCATGGAACAGAACGCGTAGACAGCTTTGCCGCTGGCCGCTGCCGCGGATCGCCTCCCGTGTGTCAGGTAATAAAAGCGACAGCGACAAATAGGGATGGGTACCGAATTCGGTACTTTTTAAGGTACCGACCGAATTCCATAGTACCGACCGAGCACCGATTCACGTCATTTGAAACGGTGCCTCGTTTCGGTACCCGTCCTTCATAACGAGAACTTGCCTAGACAGCTGCGCATGCGCAAGAGCGTTTTGTCGTCGGTCGCTGCGAGCCAGTTGTAAACAGAGCAGCATGGTAGAAAGAATGCAGGCTAAAGCTTGGGTCCACTTCACTAAATGTGATGGGTAACTGGGTGATGATGAAACCAGTGACAACGATCTAAGTGAGACATCCTCATCTTAATCTGCTCCGGTAGGTAAATATAATTAGCTTGATATGTTAGCTTCCGTTCTGCTAATGGTGCATTCGCTTTCTCCTCGGAACTCCGAATTCCCGACTAGAAGAACATGAACGTGCTCTAAAGTTTGGCTTCACTTTACTAAATGTGATGGGTGAAGACGAAACCAGTGACGACGATCTAAGTGTGAGGCATCATCGTTTTAATCTGCTCCAGCAGCTAAATAAACTGTTTAAGATAACGTTAGCGTGGTATGTTAGCTTCCATTGCTACCATTGTTATCAGCTAATGGTGCATTTGCTTTCTCCTCGGAAATTCTAGCTTCCCAGTAGGAAAAATCAAATGAAAAAACACGGCAAAAGGAATGAAGATACACAGTAAATTTAGTTCACAGTAAAGATGTTTGCTTCAGTTTAATTATCAGCTTAAAAAACTACAAGGACGATGTTAAAATACAAACAGTTGAATCTTATCGTGATATATATATCAAATATTGTTATATATTGAGAAAAATATATATTTAATTATAAAAGAGAATTAAAATAATAAACACTCAAAAGTATCGAAAATTGGTACCGTTAAGTACCGGTATCGATTCATAGGTACCAGGAATTAGTACCGGATCGATTCAAATGTCAAAGGTACCCATCCCTAGCGACAAATTTCGCTGATCGCTGTCGTTTGTCGCCTCCCGTGTGTCGAGGCCATAAGTCTGCGAGGGCAACAGCAACCCACAACTAAATAAGGAGCACACATCTACATCTTTTTATTTACCTGGTTGTCGATCTTGATTTCTGTGAGTGTGTCATTGTCTCGCAGAGCATCCACCAAACTCTGCACCCCAGCACCAGTGATAAAGTTAGACTCCAAGTTTAAACTCCGCAATGTTTTGTTCTCCCGAAGCATGTCGCTAAATGCCTGGGAGGAGAGGGGAAGGAAGGAAACGCAAGAAGAAGAAAAAAAGGCATAAATAGGCAGTTTCCATGTGTCAACAAACCTATTAAACGCCCAAAAACCACTCCATCTCACCACGGCGACCGGGTCGTTACTCCGTGTGGCAGCCAGGCTGAACTTTTTGACGTGTGTGTTCTTCTCCATAGCTTTGGCAAGGTCTTTCAGCGTAGGAATGGCAATGTTCTGAGGAATCAACAGACACACTGGCTTCAGCGAAAAGGTGGCAATCACACACACACGTGCAGAAAACTTGTGCTTGTGTGTACCTTAATGTTGTTCAGGTTCACTTCTGTTAAGGAGCTGTCATTGCTTTTCACCCTCTGCAGAGTTTCTTCTACATTAGTAGGGTTGGGAGGCTCATCAAACACTGGGTTCATCTTCTCTCCTTTGATCACATCTGGAAAAGACAAACACACGTCTCAATGTTGATTCTTTGGGGGATTTGAAGAGTAAAACTCCTTATTGTACTCACTGTTGTAACCCTCTTTACTTCCTGTCCCATCAAATGTCCGGTTACTGGTGACCAGTGTGTGAACACCCAGAATCGCTGCAAACAAAAGAAGGTCAGAAATAAGTAGTAACTTGATGTGTAGGCTCTGTAGATCTAATCAGGAGAGCAGTGCAGACAAGAGGTGTCATGTTTCTCCGTCAGCATTGATTTCTATCATCCATCGTCATGGAGTGATGGAAAAGGCTGCGTGAAATGACTGTTATTCCATCCAAGGAGAGCTTGGGTGAAGTTCTTCTTAGCTTCAACTAGTTTCCTTTTAAATCAGTCCTACCAAGCTTACCTGCTAGATCACATAGTTCAGTGTCTGTAGCACTGGAGAGTGCTTCCTCTAATTCTGGATCAAGGGTTGTGGCTTCCTCCTGGCTTGTTTCCATCAGCTTCTGCTTAGGAACAAATACTTTTCCTGTGAAAGGAGAAGGAAGGAATTACATTCATACCACAATCAAAAAATAAATGTTTACCTATTAAACAGACAATAAATGATTGAACCTTCACACAACCTGAAAAAGGTTTAATTTATATTTGGGTTCAAAAAAGTTTCAAACTTAGACGCTTTTCCTTTGGCATCAAACTAAAGATTCGGGGGTTCTAGAATTCAAAACCACATTTACTTTGTTTTTGTTGTTGAATATAGGCAGCTTTAAGTGTCAAATGTAGCATCCCAAAACGTCTGTGCCGTTTCCGACCTGGTTTCCTATATAAATCAGTAATTCTTTAAAGTCCACAGAGAAACAGCTCAACCTGAGCGGAGATGTGCTAAAATGTCATTGGAGACACACCCACTTACATTTTAATGTCCTAACCCACTTCTACATCAGCAACATGGAAGCGTTGGTGGTGGTGTTAATACCAACTGCAGAACAAAGGTCAAGATACTGCAAACAGAAACCTTCTTACAAGATGAAAACAACTAAGTGGATTATCAGAGCTTGCCTATTGAGTTATCTGGAGTTTTAGCTTCAGGTAGCGTCAATGAGCCATCGGGGTGAATCAGCCAATCAGCATGAAGCTCATTCAACATTCATATTCTGGCCGAGTAGGCACAACAAACCGGTCTTTCCATTGTAAGGCTTTATTAACTGGTTTTATTTGATTATGAATCAGGGCTCTTTGGCCATTTTGAGCCCCAACAGCGTTTCATATGCTTTATAGAGGCTCAAAGAACGGTTCCAATATGTTTCATATTGGCTTAGTCCAACTCTTCATTTCCAACAAGGATATAAACCAGTACCAGTATATATGCAGCGGGTAACTAACATCACAGATCACCCATCATACTTATGTTCACGCTTCCTGCTATTTTACACAACTTTCTCCAAACACAAGCTGAACTCTGTGCAGCCACGACTGTCTTGACAACTACAGTATTGCCATGGCAACCTGTTAAAGGAAAGAAATGGATAGAACAAAAGAAGGCATGGAATAATTACTAGAGTGCAATGCTGAGGCAACAAGGACTTGAAGCTAACACAGAAACCATACAATGGGTGCCATTTGCTGCCCAACACACACCCCAAAACACCCTCCCTCTTTCACTTCCTTCCAAGTCACTCAAGTTGTTTAAACTGGTCCCCAGTGGGGGGGCTCTGGCACTTCCTGAAAGCCAGTGAACAGTAAATAGTCATTAGGCAGCACCCAGAGCCGGAGGAGGCCACAAGGAATGACGCCAAGAGGCTGTCAACGATCCCACAAAAGGACACATCAGCACAGTGAGAAAGTCTACACCGGACATAAAAAAGACAAAGATAGATCCATACAGTAAACAGAGCAGTGTCTAACAGCAGCGTCAGGGCAGACACCCCGGCAGCAGCAGATACCTGTGATGTAAGAAGGGACCTTAAAGCCCACAAACACTGAGTCAGCAGTACCACTACAAAAATACCTCGTTTCTAACTGAATTCAGCTTTAGTAGTTGTCCTACAAACTAAAAATAGCAATTAGCCTCAGTAACTCTTTCTCTGTTCAGCCACCTCAGTAAAGAAAATCAACCAGCTCTTCTACGGCTCCAAGAGCAGATAATCTCAAACATTTTAAACCGTACACCATCTCTAAACCTTTTAGCTCTATAGAAAACTCTTTCCACAAACATTACAAAAGTAGGAGCATCACAAATAACTCTGCTAACAACACATGAAAAGACTAAAACTACATTTTTACAGTTCCTTTAAAGCTTCATGATTTCTACAGCATCATGGGGAACGTTGGATGGGCCTTTTGTTGGTAATACAGCCAGCGTTCTCTGTGGGTGACCATGTGCAGCCCTAAACTTAGTGTACCAAAAACACAGCTGTTATAAATATTGTGATAAAAAAGGGCCTCTGGGTGCAGTCGGCACAAACAAACGAACCGGCACACCCAAAAGGTCCCAGGTGGTTCATGGACAGGGAGACTACGCTGAAGCCCTGGGAATTTTATTAACTAGGTTTCTTTTAGGTACAAACATGGACTATCATACCACAGTTGGTAAACCCTGAGAATTCGCTGCTTAAAGGGATTTTTCAGCCATTTTAAGAGGATTTCCACATTAAAGTGAATGATTACTACCTTACTTGTTGTAAATCTTCCTGAAAAAAACTCTGGAGAAACCGTTTGTGCATCACAGGGTTGATTTGCTAACGGCTAGTCTCAGCACATTATATACATGGTGTAAATAAACTTTTAATGCAAAACCTAGGGTAGCATAAATGTTCATTTGAAACAACTGAACTAACATAAAAATGATGTAGGTAAAGAAAGTATTACACATTTTGGTCTTGACCTTATTTTACTTTTTAAACATGACTTTGGCCAAGAACTGGTTTGTTCACTCCTAACGGATCAAAGAAACAAAAACTATCGAACTTGATCGTCTACGAGGCTCTGTGGTATGCCTCCAACTCCAAATAACCAGCAAAAAGGACTATTCATTAAAACGCCACCAACGCACCCCGAGGGGCGTCAAAACCAATCAACAGAGCCACAATAAATACTGACCTGATATGGTTAAATTAAATAGTTAAAGGGGCTTAAGTGGTTGCCATGGAATTTAAGCATGTTGTTTTCCACCGACAGTACGCACATTACTGAAACAAGAGACCCAGACACTCCAAACCACGTCATTTATCACCAGGGGGTGAGTACAACAAGGGGAGGAGAATCTGCTGCATTCCACAGAACCACCACCTCTCTGATTTAAGCTTTCCATGCTGTCATCGAGAGCCATGTTTTTTTTTCCTTTACACACACACACACACACACACACACACACACACACACACACACACACACACACACGCACACGCACACGCACACGGTGAGGTTATCTCGGCGAAGATGTCAACTATTTCCTCTGCGGTTAGGGAGTAGCTCATGGATCTCTAGAGATCTGAGAGGAAATTCCTTCCTGTTGGAACAAAACTTACTAAACAATGTAGTTAGTCCTGTTTTGTTTTGTTTTTCCCTACTGTGCAGCCATAGAAGTTTATCTGAGCGAGATCACGCTTACCAAGGAACATGCTAGAACAGGGTGAGTACATCTTAAGGTGAGGCTGTTTAAAGTTTTTATGGTAAAACTACAACCCAACCTGGTTCTGCCACGCTGGATCGGTCTTTAAAGAGAATAAACATGTTATGTTAAGCACTTAGAATGTCATACAGAACATTTAACTGGTTTAAAAGTATTTTTAAAACACTGAATATATATTTTACAGGTAAGACTTGTCCACAGCAAGACGCGTCTGAAAAGAACGAGCAAAACAAAAACTCTTGTACTGAAAAGGGCTGTAGGCTGAGATTTGCATCGCCGATTATGGAAAAAACGAAACACAAAAAAACAACAACACGGACTGTGTTTCAGCCTCAAGCACATGAGGGTGGGATTAATACATGTTTGGACTCTAAGCCAGTAACAGTTAAGACCTTTTCACAATATTTGGTTTCATTAATCTGTCCAAGCAGCAATCATCCACACATCTGTCCTTTTATTTGTAGGAGTTCAGCTCACATAATCTGCCATTTGTTTAGGATTAAGACATTAAATGTGGTATAACAAATTTGTAAATGTCTTGTCAGAGCCAATGTTTTTTTGCATTGCATAACATTATAATAACCTTATCAGAAAAAGCTTGCTGTGGTTATAAAAAACACAACTAAAGACAATAAAAGCAGCTACAAGGATCTGGTGTTACACACCTCTGGGTTTTATTGTAAAGCTGTTAAGAAAAGCAGGATCACATGGGCATTGGAGGTGAACCTGTACGACAAAGCTGACCATCGCTGATGATCCGCCACTCAAAAATGAAATATATTCATGTTCTAGCTGAAATTTGTTAAAATTGACAATCGGTGGAACCATTTCTAAGAGAAACTAAGTCAGTAAATAAACAAAGAGCATAACCCAGCTCAGTGGCCTAGTGGTATGAGTGTCTGCTATGAAACTGGGAGATTGTGGGTTTAAATCCATGGTCAGGTCATACCAAAGACTTTAAATGGGACCCAATGCCTCCATATTTGACACTCAGCTTTAAGGGCATGTAATGGGAGGTTAAATCACCAAATGGTTCTGGAGCGCGGTTGTGTCTGCAGCCCACTGCATCCCCCAGTGGATAGGTCAATGTGGAGAACAAATTTCTCACACACACACACACACACACACACACACACACACACACACACACACACACACACACACACACACACACACACACACACACACACCAGTGTGTGTGACAACTAATGGGGTTTTCACTTTTGTCTTTGTCTTGAATCAGAATCCACATTTAACCACAATTCATGCGTTTCTGTCCATAAAAGAGACTTCTACAGTTTAGACTTGTAAAGTGGTTCAAGTGATGGTTTCAGATTTCTATCACTCAACGTTACACGAGTCTACCAGCAGGTTAGCTACTCTCATCATCAAAGGATCAATCAAGAGCTGGCATTAGTTTTTATGACTTAGTAGCTCACTTTGTTACACCTCTTTTGGTTTTTAATTGTCTTTTAACTGGTTTTTATCACTTCCTTCCATAGTTACTTTAGTTAGAGCTTTTACTTGTTCTCTTATTCTGTTATTTTAGTATGACCTTTTTATGTCTAATTATTTATGCTATGCCTTTTATGCATTTTAGTTAATTCCACAGTTTTCTGCTATGTTTCTGCTGGTGTATCAGAGCCTCTGGCTCTTTTTGTGCAGCCCCTTGATTTGCTGCCATGCTATTTTTAAACGGTGCTTTATAAATAAATTGGTATGTGTGTAAGGCGCATTATACAACCATCAATAAAAAACAGCTTCAAGATATTAAAATACTAAACTCTCTTCCTCTTTTGACCCCTCACCACCTACTCCACTCCTCCCTTCTGTGTGTTGCGTAAGAGCAGATGTGTGTTATGGTACCTGCAAAGGCACAGAGCAGTAAACACGGCTGTGTGTACTGCTGATTCACACACAACAAGAATCCAAATCTCTAGGGCTATTAAAGTACTGACGTGTGATCAGGGTATCTGCAGGTTTACGGGAGCCAAATTTAAGACTTTTTAAGACCTTTTTTAAGGCCTCTTTGACCAAATTTAAGCTATTTTTTAAATTAAATTTAAGCTATAATTTCCAGCTATTGCCTGGAACCGGTGCTAACCTATGTCGCAAGGATTAGCCATCCAGTTACCATTAAACTTGCACTTCCCCATGGCACAAGCTCCCACTAGCCTAACCAGCTAATGTCCTCATCTAAAAAGCCCCCTTTCACAACCAACTGAATGTGTACGATTCTGCTTACGCCAACATCGTACACAGAAAAAGCTGAACACTAACTAGAAATTCAGGAAAATTTTATAGAAATAAAGGAATCTTGTTTATTAGGTCTTTGGTAATTTAAGACCTTTGAAAGCTGTATTTAAGGATTATTAGTTATTTTTAAGGATTTTTAAGACCTTAAATTTGGGAAAGCTAATTTAAGACTTTTTAAGGACCCGCGGATACCCTGTGTGATACAACTAAAGAAGATCCTGCATCTTATTATTGAAGGCAAGTTTCTGTTGCAGCTTCACTAAAAACCATCAAGTAAAATTGGATCCAATAGACTTTAACAGTTATTTCAAATAAACGATGCACTTGTTTTAATTTCTCTCATTTGTCACAGTTTTGATTGAAACTCCCTGTAAATGTTGATGGTTTTGGTAACTATTATTGTTCCAAGTACTAGTCTGGTAAAAAGCAAAGTTAACATCACGCCATGCTACATTTTGGGTGCTGATGGTTTTTGTTGTCCATACTTGACGTGAGGGTCCCGTTTCCATGATGCTACAGAATTCTGGATCACAAGTTTTACCCAATAAATACTTTCACTCACCCAAAATGCTGAAATAAATAAATAAATGCCCAAGGCTCAGTAACCCCGGCTTTCCACTGGCCGTGAAAGCAGTCGCGTAACGCAATAGCGGCATTCCACCCGCGAGCTTGTTCCTAACCGAGAGCAATTCCGATGCGAAACGGGGGCGAAAGCATTCCACACCGCTGATCCCATGACATCACGAAATCACGAGAGAATTGCAACACTACTCGTGATTCCACAAATCCACGCACAATAATAAGAGAGACAACTGCATGCAAGAAAAAATGTCTGTGGGTTATTTTATGCTCTGTTTACATCGGTTACAGCCACAGTAAATGACGTACTGCATGTGAGCTTTATTATGAAAGTTTCCAGATGTTCTACACTGCTTTTGTGTTGGACTTCCTGTCTGGCTCGATCTAAACTGTGGAGTTTGACGTGTTTTGGAAGCGTAGCGCGTCAGAAATAGATTTAAATCTTAATGACAGCATGCCCTTGCTTCTGGGACGTATCCAAAACATCACAGCTGCCAGTGGAAAGGAACTCATCCACTATGATGGCGGCTAATCGCTGCATAGTACGTTTCGCGGCTGTTTTACGACACTCTCGCGTGCAGTGGAAAGGAGGGGTCACAGCCAGCTAGGTGGAACAAATAGCTGAAGGTTTATGAAAAATCCATAACTGGCTCACGTTTCTAAATGGGCCAAAAAAAGGGGGCTGAATTCTGCAGGGGATCAGAATTTGGCACAACACCAGCCAGTTAATTAGAAGATCTTACACCGAGCCTCAGAAACAGCTCTCAGGAGCTCAGCTGGATTTGTAAAATGTGAACGAGTGTGAGCAGAGGTTGTACATCGGGTCAGTATCCCACTCCAGTCCACTCATCCGTGTTGTTTTCCACATTCTCTGACAGCGTGATTCAGTTCCTTCATGTGACAGTCTTCCTGTCTCTCTATTCAATTTTCCATCTAGTCAATTTTCTAATTGACTAAATAAATAAAAACCGGGCAACAATGATCATAAACCGCAGGTAACACAAGCTCCTTTCTCACAAGATCATGCTCTCATCCCAACATGCATCATGAAGCGAGGAACTCTTTCCGTTCCCTTTGGAGACAATAAAGACAAACAGACACACCTTTTTTCTCTCCTGTGAACGGCACAATATCCTCTCTGTCCTTATACTCCATAGCTTCCTTCTCCAAGTATTTGAGCAGACGATCCCTGTTGAACGGTCCGGTAGACTCCTTACTGGTCTGATCTTTCTGTCGTAAACCGGCTGGAAGGAGGGCATTCTGAGGTAAAAAGATGGAAGATAGTTCAACTTTGCTGTCATGACCACATTTTTACTCAGTAAATGCTTTCATGATTAAAATAAACTGTTTTGGCAACACTTTGGGAAACTGTTCACACATGAAAGTAAAAATAAAGAGAAAATGTTGATAAAGCTAGACTCCTGTTCAGTTTGGCAACACAGAGAATCTCTGAAAAAATTCTCTAGAAAATAAAAGTCAGTTTTCTGTTAAAAAAGCATGTTTATGGTTTTTAAAAGAGTTGCTATTCTAATCTTGACACTGCCATGTTGCCAAACCTGACCGACTGAAAAACAATATTTCCTGGCTGTTTTGGCTTGTGTGTGACCTTAAGTGTGTGAGAGTTTGACAGTCAACATAACAGGAAGAAAAATGATCATTAGAGCCAGTTTAACTGGATTTTCAGCTGAAATGGGAAACATTTTAAAACACAGAATGAAAATTTTTTGTCACAGATGAAAAACCTGGCAACAAGGAATGAGGATGTGTGTAAACCTAAACGTGTTTGTCAGGTCACCCTGCGGCTCCTGAAACCAACTTTATTTATTACTGTAGGCTTGTCATTTTATTCTTTTTATCTCCATGAAAACCAAACATTTCCCTCTGCTGCAGAACGTTTCCTGTGGGCTGTGTGTGGTCAGTTGTATCAGTAAGTTAAGATAAACTTTAAAACACATTTCTAACAGTTTTAAGGGGTTTTCCATTCTTTCAGTTCTCATGAAAAAGCATAAAAACTCTCTGAAACTCATAAGGAGCTGCTGCATCCAAGTTGTTTCCTCAACTCTGATGGTTTTAGAGTTCAAGTTTTCATCGTTATTAAAAAAAAATCTGTGTGAAAAGTTACAATGCTTTGGGAAGGATGTAGGTTTTATTATGACTTAACGTCACGATGTTCAGCTCATGTTACCATCTGTAGTTGTGTCTTTTAGTTAAAGAAGGAACCAAAGTTTGCAAACCATGCATTTCATTTATAAGCACATTGGATAAACAACCGTTTACTAAGTTAGTCATTTTAACCCTCCCACTGTCTTTGTGGGTGACCCTGCGAGAAAAGTGTACCATTGAGCAGGATTGATGGTTTATCCCTTGAGGTCCATGTGGCAGGGGTGAGGTGGTGCTCACTCCTCACCCCTGCCACATGGACTTCAAGGGATAAACCATCAACTCTGCTCAATGGTACACTTTCCTCACAGGGTTACATCCATTAGGACAGTGGGAGGGTTAAATAAATCCTCATGGTGCAAGAACTTCTCCCTGTTGAGGAGCCTTGGAGCTCCTCCAACCCTCCCTAAACTCTGACCTCAGGATCCATCTCTGCGAGCGCCGACTCCAGCTGTTTGAGCTCCTCCGCTGACAGATTTTTGAGGATTTCATCTTCATCGATATCCTTGTATTTGCCCAGATCCTTCTTGTACGACAACGCCATGGTGGCTATAGCTTCCTAGGCAACACTAACAGTAAACTGAAGCCACACTGGTCCTGCTTCTGCTCCAGGTCAGGGGGACGCCTGAGGACAAAATAAGGAATACATTAAGACATCGAACTGCACAGAAAAATCCTTCAGTAAAATCTAACGACACGGAGGTAAACAGCTTTTATCTCATCCATGTGAAACAATAGTCAAACACAGCTGGGCTGCAGAACAGCTTTGCAGTGATGCAACACACACAACTGGAACAAAGGATGAACTTTCTCAGGCTCCAACAAATCCTCCGACTCCTCCTTTAAGGGTAAACAACTCTTCATGTTCTCCAGTGATTCATACATTTGTAAAACATCACCATCAAAGAAGAAACAGCAGAAGCTTTTAACTGAATATTAAACATCATGTGAACCTTTTCTTTTTGGTGCGAGGACTTGCACGCAGGCTAGTTCACGTTAAATAAACATCAGATAACGAGTGAGCTAGAGTCGTTCTGTCAAACACAAAACGACGTGAGCCTTCCAAGAACTGTCTTTGTCCACTCTGCCTGCAGAATGACACAGATGGCCTTTCTTTACCACGCATGCACACATATATAAACCAAAACATCTAGAGTCTTTGATAGCAATCATCTGTTGAGATGAGAGAAAGAAAAAAGTTCTCACAAAACTATTTGTACAGTATTTGCATCAGATAATCAGTCTGACTGCTGCTACTATTGTTTGATTATTTACATTTACTATAAAAATAAAGTAAATTAGATTAAAACAAAAATGACAGCAGAGGAAAAATGCTCAACCCTGTGATTTTGGAGAGCATTCCTCCAACACTAAGTGCCCGTTTCTCCAAATTCTCCACTCCAGAGAAATGTTTCAGGAGTCGGATGATGTTTGTGTCTTGCACTGTCTCAATCCAGCCTTTGTCCGGCGTTTATTTCCCCCATCACCTCCTGAATTTGTCATCTACACTCATTTTTATCTGATTAGAGTGAAAACAAGGGAAGCTGATTACCAGCACATGAAGCGGAGCTCAAATGTTGATCATCCTAATCTTTATTATAGGATATAAATAGTGACCAATATGGCTGAATGCTAGAGAAAAAAAAGCATGTTGGTAAAACAATTTATATGAATAAATATCAATAATTAGTGATAACTATAAAATATATGTAGAATATATACTTTAAGTGTAGTCATGGCCATTTTATGTCATTACTTTATGATAAACAAGTTGGTTGTGTTACCAGATTGTTTTTTTTTTTATTCTCTTCAAATTTAGCAAACTATTGTTTTTGTACGATTGAAATATTGCCATGCTGGTGAACTACTGCAACCATTTTACGGGACTATTCATTCCACCTCTTGCTGCCTCATCTCCTTTAAGTCACATGCTCTCTGTTTAGGTTTGAGAGGGGAGGGCTTGGCGATGGAGCATGCCCAGGTCGGTGTTTATGATTGGTTGGAACCTGGGAGTAAGTAATGACTCTAGTATTAAGCTACGTGACAGGCTATAATGGAAAAATGAAAGAAAAGGTTTTATTGAAGGTTTTATTTGCCCTTTTTTGCATATCGATAGTTTTTTTGAGTTATTGACAGCCCCGATGATCAAAATCAAAAATTTGTCCTGGAGCTAAATCAGGTTAGAGGCAAAAGAATTAAGAGCATGTTATACAGGATATCATCACTTCTGTCAGAGAGAAAGGAAATTAGCAGATCCGACAGAAGCCGAGCTAATAACGCCCAAAACAACCTTCAGTGATGGTAAAATGGTTCAAATGAAATAAGATAAATCAAACACATTGTTTTACCTTAGGAAAGTACTTTCAGGCTTAAAACAACTCCTGCATCATGACAATGACTATGCATGACAGATATATGAGCAGTCATCGGTCTTTAGAAAACAATGCCAGAATTAGATTTTTATATTATTGTTTAGTTATCATATATGAAAAGTTTAATCTGATGTAGTCTAATATGAAGACAGAAATAATATGTAATAGGAAGAAATACTGAACTTATTTACAACATATAATCCACATGAAGGAACTTTTGGGAGTTGGGTCCATTAGTGCTGAAGACATAGGTTCTAAATGGGTCCCAAATGTATTGCTATTATTTAACTGACACTCACAGTTCGGATCGGATCGTGGTTTTCTGTCAAAGATTGGATCATTTTTCGGATCAACAGAAAGAAAAAGAAAAGACAAATAGCTTTGTTTTTTATTTATTTTTTTGTAGAACACTTAGTGCGACATTTTTCTGTTCAATTTGCAACTTGCTATGAAAATAGGAATTATAGAGAGGTCCGATTGCTGATTAAATGTTAAAATGACTTGCCCTATATAGACACGTTCACTCTCCGTGTCCTGCTTTCACAAATTTCCTCATCTTTCTGAATTGCTGTTTATTTTTCTTTCCTCCTCTCTTACATATTTGTCCCCAACGATATTTACAGGTCCATCATGTTAATGTAATAATTGTCCGAGGCATTTAGCGTGCACCCCCCACAGCGATAGGTGGTACGTATGTGCTGCACTGCGCCGTCAAACTGGAGGCATGTGCATGTGTGTGTTCATTTTTGCATTTTGTATCATCATTGTCTTTCACAGGGAAGCCAAAACACTCCCATACATGCCTTAAACAATACAGGTGGTTTCTTTCAAGCTCATCTCCGCCTCTGACATGACCACCGCTGTGCTTTACTTGTTTGGACTGAACAGGTGGCACCTCAGCCCTCCATGTGACCAATCCACAGACCATGCCCGCTCCAAACCACAGAGAGATTCAAGCAGATCACCGATCAATGATGATCCGTTGTACCCCTAATATATTGGAATGTTTACAAACACGACAGGAAATTACACCATACATCAAAACATTAAAACAACACTATAAAGAGTTTTTGGCACTTAAGCTAATGCTTTTAAAGTGGTTTCAGTGGTCTTGTAGGTAGAAACTTTACCAACTTTACAATGGACAGCATGCTGTAGCCCTCTGCTGGCCAGAAACCACAGTTTTGTGGCATGGGTAGATTCATTAATGGCGTTCTCATGCCTGGGTCTGTGCGGACCCAGGCGTGAGAACGCCATTAGGGTATATTATGTTCACATCTGTGTACCCTGTGTGTTTTCTGTTTTCAAACAACATTTTTTTCAGACCTCCTCTCCCGACAATCTGCTTCGGACTGAACTGACCCAACAAACCCACCGCTGACTGATTAGCCGGACAGATCTAGACCTGATTTGTTCTAACTGAGGCTATTTAGGAAGTGCCTGAAACAGGCAAATCTAAATTCTTCACTTTTACATATGCAATTACTAATTCAAATGAACAGCATTTACATACTGCCCCATGTTCTCTCTTGCTCAGTTTCACTGATACATGACTCCCATCTTCCAACAGCAACTGTCTTAAGTCAGGTGCAGCACTTTAAGACACTAGAGTAATGAAGCATGCAGACAGGGATAACGATGCCAGTGCCTGGACTCCGGCTGAGGTGGAGACACTGAGACGATACATTAACCCAACCTGATTGATTCCTTTCTCCCTCTCCTCTCAGCTAATCCTTCAACAACAGATGGCTCCAAGCCAATTATACGGCAAATGTGCACTTAATGCTCACCTTAAGCTATTTCTCACGGACTAGTCCCACAAACACAACTTAACTTTATTTGAAGAGTTACACATTTTAGTGGTTTTGTTCCTCTGCAGACTCAAAAACATGAAATTATGTGATAGAATCAGATTTCTCTGTTATAAGTGTTTCTGATCCTTGTCAGTAAAAACAAACTAATTATCATTTTTACATTTTCATAGAGGAATACAAGCCATTTGCTTGCACTTCCGCTTCCGGTCAGCAACAAGATGGCGCCTGTGCTTGGCTTAGCCGCAGTCACCGGCCACTTTTTCAAACTTTTCTCCACTAACCTCCTCTTTTCCACCTTGCTCCTGTCTGCGATCCTCTTCAGTAGTGTCCCTCCTACCATCTCCTATGATCGCCAGACTCTTTTGTCCTTCCGTTCGTTCATGATCACCCAAGATGCACCGAGGATGTACCTTCCTGTTTGTTTACCTGAGCGGCACGCTGGCCCGGAGCCAAACGATGATTCCTACCACAACGCCTCCAGCGATGTTTGTCCGGTCCCGGGAAAACGTCGGAGGAAAAGAGGTAAACGAGCAGGAATCCAGGTGAGAATAAGACTTCTCTTAAAGCGTGGTTTATCTAGTAAACATCGGCACGATCTTCTAGCTTCTTGTCCTTTGTTTGGTGACCTGAGCGCCACTTCCGCATTCCCGCCAGGCCGCATTGCAGCGCGGTTCATCCGTCCAAGTTTTTTAAGGTCGGTTTATCCTCCATCCTCAGTGGTTTCTCCTCCTGTTCCCTCCATAAGTGTTTTTTATAAACACCGTGGATCTAACCCTGCTAATTTACGTCCACTAACTCCAGCTGTTTCTGTAGTTTCTGATTCCTCCACCTCACTCAGCATGGCTTTATTAAATACCCGCTCTGTTAACAATAAGTCCCTCCAGCTCAATGATCTAATTCTCTCTAAAAACCTGGATTTTCTGTTTCTGACTGAAGTTTGGCAGCAAACATCTGATTATTCTGGTCTGATTGAACTCTGCCCGAGTGGTTATTATTTTCTTAGCCAGCCCCGGGGTTCTGGTCGTGGTGGAGGCCTAGCTGTTGTTTTCAGAGACCATCATCCATGTAGCTCTACAACCTCTGGTCACTTTGCTTCCTTTGAACTGCAGCTGATTAAAGTCGGGCGTAAGGACCCCTTCTACTGTGCTGTGGTCTATTGTCCACCTGGTCCAAACAGTTGTTTCCTTCAGGAGTTTAGTGACTTTCTATCCTCCACTGTGAAGCTGTCCAGACTGGTGATTGTTGGTGACTTTAACATCCACGTTGATGATCCCTCCGATCACTTTGCCATGAATTTCTCCAGCCTTATGGACTCCTTCGGCTTTACCCAGCATGTTTCTGGCCCCACAAACACCAGGGGACACACTCTGGACCTTGTTTTTACCCTGAGTCTAAATGCTGACAGTGTTTGTCCTGAGGACGTTTATATTTCAGATCACCATTGCATTTTCTTTAACTTGTCAGTTTCTGCGTCCCCACCTCCTGCTCGCCGTATGGTTAGTTCTCGTTTTCTTAATGAGAGCACAGCTAGCAATTTTTCTGCTGCTTTTGATCCACCCTGTTTTTCTGATAATGACCCAGATTCCTTAACTTCTCAGTTTAACGATCACTGCCTCTCCACTCTGGACAACATCTGTCCTGTCAGAACCAGATCAGTTCCTGCAATGAACCCTACTCCCTGGTTTAATGACAGCCTTCGCAGCCTGAAGAGCCAATGCAGAAAAATTGAGCGTTTGTGGAAGAAAACCCATCTCCACGTCCATCTGCTGCACCTAAAGGATCTTCTGACATCCTTTAACTCTGCAGTCAGAGAAGCAAGGGTTTCCTTTTTCTCCAACCTGGTGTCCCAGAGCAAAGGGAACCCCAAGGTGCTGTTTAACACCATCAGCAGCATTGTCTCCCCTGCCACTCCTACAGCCTCCATCCACTCTGTTGCAGACTGTGAGAACTTTCTGTCTTTCTTTGTGGACAAAGTCAATAAGGTTAGATCTAGCATCTCTCCTTCAGCCTTATCGCTGCTTCTCCCGACTCCAACCAGGCCCATCATCCTAGATAGCTTTGCTCCTGTTTCTTTGCCTGAGTTAACCAAACTAGTAAACTCTATGAAGACCTCTGCATGCCCCCTCGACATCTTACCCTCATCTTTGTTTAAAAGTGCTTTTCAGTCCATCGGTCCCAGCATGCTCTCTATAATTAATGCTTCTCTGGTTTCTGGTCAGGTCCCTGCTTACTTTAAGAATGCTGTAATCCACCCGCTTCTTAAAAAACCAAGTCTTGACCCCTCTCTCCATAGCAGCTTCAGACTCATCTCTAAACTTCCGTTCATCTCCAAGATCTTGGAAAAGGTTGTGGCTAAACAACTCACAGCTGCTCTTGATGAACATAACATCTATGATAGCTTCCAGTCAGGTTTTCGTAGAGCTCATTCTACTGAAACAGCTCTTCTTAGGGTCTCTAATGACCTTCTGACTCACATTGATGCAGGGGACTGTTCTGTTCTGGTCCTGCTGGACCTGACTGCAGCTTTTGACACTGTTGACCATCACCTGCTACTGGAGAGGCTGAGAGACTGGGTAGGCCAATCAGGATCTGCTCTGGAGTGGTTCTCCTCTTATCTCTCTGAGCGCTCCTTTTCTGTGGCCGACTCCAAGTTAAGGTCCTCCACCACCTCTCTTACCCATGGTGTCCCACAAGGCTCTGTGCTGGGGCCTCTGCTCTTCCTCCTCTGCTTCCTCTTCAGCACATCCTGAGCTCATTCAAAGGAATCTCCTACCATCTTTATGCAGATGACATCCAACTGTACATCTCCTTTAAGCCCCATGAGATGTCTGAGCTGCAGCTGTTACACACCTGCTTAGACTCTATCAAAACCTGGATGGCTGGGAGCTTTCTTCAGCTGAATGAAGATAAGACTGAGATCCTCATCTGTGCCCCAGACAAGCTGGTTCCCAAAATCAGAGAGACTCTTGGTCAACTTGCTTCTCTCACCAAACCTTCCGTCAGGAATCTTGGCGTGACCTTTGACCCAGCTCTCACCCTGGATTCTCATGTCAGTTCTCTTGTTCGCTCTTCCTTCTTCCATCTCAGGAACATTGCTAAGCTGAGTCCCATTCTGTCCTGCTCTGGACTTGAGACAGTTATCCACACCTTCATCTCCTCACGCTTAGACTACTGTAAATCTCTTTTCACGTGTCTGAGCAGAGCCTCCCTGAACTGTCTACAGGTGGTTCAGAATGCCTGTGCTCGGCTTCTGACCAAGTCCTCCAAACACACCCACATCACCCCGCTTCTCCTCCAGCTTCACTGGCTGCCAGTCAACTTCAGGGTTCATTTCAAGATCCTGGTTCTGGTCTCTAGGGCCTTACATGGACAAGCACCATCTTACATTGGTGATCTTCTTAGTCCCTACACCCCCAGCAGATCCCTGAGGTCCAGTGATCAAAGCCTACTGGTTGTGCAGCGCACCAGGCTAAAGACCAAAGGTGACAGATCATTTGCTGCTGTGGTACCCAGACTCTGGAACTCCCTCCCCCTGAGCCTGAGATCAGTGGACTCAGTGGTCTCCTTCAAAAAGCAGCTGAAGACTCACTTGTTCAAGCTGGCTTTTGTATGACCTTCTTCACCACTCTCTATTCTGCTCCCCCCACCTATTCCACCTTCCTTAGGATCCACTGATTTCCTTCTTTCCTATTCACTCTCTCTCTTTCTTAACTTTTTTTAATCACAATTGTCTATTGTTGCTCATTTTAAATATACTTTTAAACACTTTCTAAAAGTTTTTTATATTTTTACTTTTTTTTTTGTTTTTGTGAAGCGCCTCGTGATTTTTAGCTTCAGAGGCGCTATAGAAATGATATTTTCTTCTTTCTTCTTTAGGTGATATAGAAAGCTAAGCTACTGCAGAACAATTCTTCAACAACACAAAAATACAACTGTAGTTGGAATGACCCAGCTAATGCTGCCCATGAGATGTTATCCTCATCCCTCCTGCTCTCCTCCAGTCTTACTCTCTGGTTTTTGTCTCACCACTTCATTTCTTTTCTCCCCGGTGGCTTTGTGTCCCCGGAGTTTGTAGAAATTATAGAAAACAGATGGGAGGAAACTAAAATAGCAGCTCAAAAACATATCTGAGACACAGATAAAATGAACACGTTTGAATTGTAACTTATCAATCTTTCCAACAACAGCTTTTACATTAGTCACAGACAGTAACAACCGTGTCCCTCCAAGTCTTGTACCAACTTGACTGAGGCCAGACAGGAAGTGAGGCGTTCATTCAACAAACACACATGATTTGTTTATTTCCCTGTAGCTGCACAGCCACACACTATTTTACGATTTAGTTGAGACAGACTTCAAGGAGTGTCCAGCATGAATAATGCAGGTTTAAGAAAGCTTGTAACTTTCAGGTCACTAAAACTAAAGTCACTATTTACTTTTCTGGCTCACTGCCAGGTTTCACCCTTCAGTGAGGTATGTGGCGAAATCAATGTCTTATTTGTTTATCTGCAGTAAAAGTATCACCAAAAACAGTCTGCAGCAACCATAACAACAGCATCTGACTACAGTGAAGCCACTGTGCTTCTGGGTTTTCTTAAGACTTGAACCACACCCATCATCCACAACTGAGCCCTGCAGGTCAAACTGTCTTCTGTGAACACACACAATAATGCAGGAGTGTGTCACACTGGCTGACAAAGCTAGACTGTCCTTGTACTTCACTAAGCTCCTGAAACCGTACCATTTTCTATTCGTTCATACCAAGATTATCTCTTAAAATAACCGAAATCTTCCTCAAAGGCAAATAGATGGAACTCTTTAAAGCGTAATGACTGACGCACGGGGATGGGCAGCAGATAAAATCACTTCACGTAAGATGCAATCAACAGGACTCAAATAATTTCAGATTACTGAACGATAAACCACAGTTATTATTATCATTAACTATCTCAGAAAGAGTTATAGGGGCAGATTAGCAGTATTACGTTCGCGTTCCCTTCGTTGTCAATGTCATCATCTTCTGAGGGTACGGCAGTCCATCGGAAGGCGTTAGCTAGCTAACTCGTTATTGACATCATGCTTATGACTTGAAACTGGCAACATGTTGATAGCGATTATCACCGCCATGATGCAAAGCGTGCAGGTTTTCATTGTGTAATTGTTACAGGCGGACGTGGCCGTTTACGGCACCATTTCACTGTTAACTTAGCTACATGTTATTATATGCGGTTCATTGTGGATGAGAGGCAGAGGCTAACACGCTAACCTTTTGCAGATGACTCAAGTCGCTAGCCACTAGGCTAGACCAGAAAGCTAAGGAAACCTGTGACATCGGGTTATACTAAACACAATTAATATGGCGTCTGAAACCCGCACATGTCTACTAGTTTTCTTACCTGAGGGTAAAGAGACCTCTCAAGGAAAAAACTCCGAATAGCAGCAGAATTCCAAGTGAATGCAGCTGCGCCTGCTTCTGAACTGGGCTTGTCAGTCCACTCCCTGGCAAGCAAGGGCGGTAACACAGGAAGAGAGCACTAAGAGGTCTGTGAGTGACGTTTGAGTGGACCAATAAGATGATAGTGTGCCAACTGTAGACCAATGGAACGACTTATCCCGCCCCATGAGCTCAACAGTAAAAAAAAAAAGGGTGAAATAAAATAATTTTGAGCAAGTATTGAAGGATAAGAATAGTATGGAAGCCCATTCCCGCCACTCAGATAAAAAAATTATTATCTCACAATTATGACTTAGCTATCTCATAATAATGATCTCATTATTATCACTTAGCTATCTCATAATTATGAGATAGCCAAGTCATAATTATGACATAATAATTGTTTATGTCTGAGTGGCAGGAATGGGCTTCCACAGTATGGCTACAACTCTTAAGTTTTGATTTTTCTGTAAAATAATCTTATTTTGTTTTCGATTTTGATAACTACAGCATCTTAGGTATTGTTTTAAAAACTATAAACTATACTTGTGCCATGAATTTTAACATGGTGATTTAAATGAAAAAGCAGGAAGTAAATTAAATATCTACTTAGTATAATCTAACATTTCAAATTAAGGTTAATTTATTCTACTTGGAGGATGTTTCAATCTGCATTCTATTACACGTTTATTGCTTCATCTGTCATGTAAAATTATCAGCTGATTACTTGACCTCTGGGATTTTCTCTTTGCACTCAAAAATACATTCAAGGAGGATCTGGTGTGAGGGTATAGAGGGCTCTGCCTTTTTGTGCCAAGTGATATATATATATATATATATATATATATATATATATATATATATATATATATATATATATATATATATATATATATATATCCGTAGCTGCTTGATAAAAAAGATTGTAATTATTGTAATCACGAGATTGTTAAAGAGCAAGTCACTCCCAAACCAACTTTTTTTTGCTGATAAACTATATAAATGAGTGTCTGGTCGTGCTGAATACATGTGTAGTCAATAATTTGGCACTTTAGTGCATCTTAGTTAATATTTAAATACTCTATCTAAAACTGTCAGTGTTGTGACATCTTCAGGTAAAAACTCTGCACTGCATTTGAATTTAAATCTGTCATTGCTAATGGCTAAGAAGTATCATTTGATGTTAGCTGGTACCATATGATGTCAAAATGGCATTGTGGACCTGTATTTGTGAATATTTGTTAGCAGCTCCGCCCTCTTGGTCTGACAGGCAACAGCATTTGTTGCATTTTTCAAACAGGAGGTGGGAGTGGTGTAAGATTTTGTTAGGGGTGACTTCCTCTTTAAGCATCTGAGAGTCAATATGGTTAATATTCTTTGCTTCCAGAAATTGTTTTCTGCCTGTGATCCAATTATTGAATTTTAATGCAATCTTTTTATATTTATATCTGATTTACAAAGTAATTTAAAATGTGAAAAATGTAGTAACCTATGTCTGCAATGCTTTCACTCAATCACTGTAGCATAATATAAGATAAGACACCTGCTATATGCAGTTTTTAGATTGATTTTGAAATTGGATATTTTTGTTGTTGTAGTAGGCTATTGCATCATTTACAATAAATTGTGACACATAACGTTTAATCGTGATCTGTTTTTTTAAACTGGTTTTCTTTGTGAATTAAGCAGTATTCGTTATAATTATTTATTGTAATATTTTCAATGATTACTTTTCAAAAATACACTTTATAGAACTAATCAAATTCTGGTTGTACATGTACTACGGGACACCGTCATGAAATTAAGATAAGAAAAAAAGTCAGTGAACTAATGAATTTCCACGTACAGTGAAATTTTGGTTTATTTTGTTAAAGAAAAATATTTTAAATAAGCTTTACCAAAGCAAATCTTAGAAAAGGCGGAACCAATTTGAAAGCGAGCTAAATATATTTCCTTCTTGCCATTTCATGTTTTTATTTCACTGTGGCTGTAAAGCTACCCTATATCGCCCCCTGTTGTCTGAAATATATCACAACATCAACACTACTTTGACACGGAAGTAAAAGCCTTCGTGGAAATGAATTTCCGGTTTATTACATCTTAGAAGAAATGGCGGACATGGATGAGCTTTTCGGGAGTGATGGAGACAGTGACAATGATCAAAGAGGTAATTATGTTTCTCATATGATGGTTTTTGTAATTAATTGTATAGTAATAGTATTCGTTGTGTCGGTCGTTTTTGCGAATTGAAGTTGGAACCAAGTTTTAACGTTTAATGATCGGTAAAGTGGCACTTAAATGCTACGACAGTATGAATTAAAGTGAAAACCGTTAAAAATGCATTTCGATAAACGTTTTTTTAATCAATTCAGAGAAGGAGAGCTCAAGATATTCAAAAGTAACAGCTGCAAATAACGCTACGATTATTGTATTGTATTGTGATTATTGTTATGCCATACCCTGTGAAATACGTATTTTAATGTCACTGTGCACCGCGGTGAAGTTAGTTTGAAGTTGGACGTTGGATATTCGACAGACATTGGTCCTCCCGGTCAGCGATAAGTCTTCATGCTGTGCGCTCCGGTACAGACAGCGGTTAACTGAGTTCCGAGGACTCGCCAATGGGAACGGTGGTTCACTTAGGGACTATCAACAATTTGTAGTCCTTTGTAAACGAGGACAAAAAAAATACAAAACTTCCAGAATAATTGCCCAAATGACTCAAAATTACTTCTGAGTTGTGTTACTAAACTACATTTACAAGACACAACAGTTTTAACACATTTCACACAATCTGATCTTTTGTATTATAATTTTTATCCAAAATGACGAGATTCTTTTCAATAGCTCCTAGGTAAATCAGTCTGAATACCTAAAACCATTTCTCAGTGGTGTTACTTAGCCAGACCGATGAGACACAGCAGTTTTAATCACATTTCATACAATCTGATCTTTTTTATTAGGATTTTTATCAAAAATTAAGTGAAGTAAGAATATATTCATGATAAAATAATAATACAAAGTGGCAATAATTAGAGAAATGGCTACTGTAGGTACGAATCAGAGCGGATCAGTTCAGGTACAATCGCAATACCAGGTCATGTGACTGGAGTGGGCAGCCCTAAGATTGTCATTCAAGAGTCCAACAGCAGAGGGGAAGAAACTGTTCTTGTGGTGAGAGATTCTGGTCCAAATCGATCCGAGCCTCCTGCTGGATGGGGGAGAGTCGAAAAGAATGTGTCCAGGGTGAGATGGGTCAGCTGTTATCAGACCTGACCGCCTCAATGTCCTGGAGGTGTACAGGTCCTGTATGGAGGGGAGTTTGCAGCCAATGACCTTCTCAGCAGAGTGTACAACCTGCTGCAGCTTCTTCTTGTCCCTGGTTGTAGCTCCAGCGTACCACACAGTGATTGAGGAGGTGAGGATGGACTCGATGATTGCGATGTAGAACTGCCTCATCGACTGTGCTGGCAAGTTGAATTTCTTCAGCTGCCTCAGGAAGTACATCCTCTGCTGGGCCTTTTTTATGATGGAGGTGATGGTGGGCTGCCACTTAAGGTGTTGGGTGATTGTGGTGCCCAGGAAGCGACATGAGTCAATCATCGTGATGGGAGTGTCAGACAGGGTTAAGAAGGGGAGTGGGGCTGTGTGCTTCCTAAAGTCCACAACAACCTCCGCTGTCTTCTGGGTGTTTAGCACCAGGTTGTTGTGGCTGCACCAGGACACCGGCCGTTCGACCTCCATTCTGAAGGCAAACTCATCCCTGTCGGAAACGAGTCTGATGATGGTGGTGCCGTCGGCAAACTTGATAAGAGGAGTATCAGTAGTTTATTTTACAAACAGAAATCTCACTCTACCTGTAGCAGATGGCTGTGTTTTATAGTAATAGATTAAGTGATAAAAAGCAGTTTACATACGGCTTGCAACTTCTCACAGATACATATTAACCACAAAGAACGTAAAGACATCTCTAACTAATATTTTAGCTAATTTTTGGAAGATCTCACTGGCACATTTTCAACCAAGCAACAAACTTAAATTGATTATTATCACCAAGGACAAAATCACCTGAAATTAAGTTTATTCATTGATCAGACAGGTTTGCAAAGAATAAAACCATTGTTTTGCTGTGAGAAAATTATTACCAATGTTAATGTTCTGTGTGTCGAAAGAAAATCATTTTGTTTATCACTTTTTGCAGAATCTGGCTCGGGTTCAGATTCTGAGCAGGAGAGACCTCGATCAGCTAGTAACGCCTCAGGCAGCGAGAGGGAGCGGGACGATGAGGACGACGATGATGGACAGGACACAGGGAAGCCCAGTATGAATAAGGTGGGTACTTTTTTATTTCTACCTGCTGTGTAAGTCCTTTAATCCCTTTTGCTCTAAATGAATAAAACATGTGAAAAACAAACATTTTCCTAGCTTTTGTTGTATTTTTAGGCATTAACCATTGAGTTCAACACCATACATTAATATGTAATAAATAAGTCTGCATGTAAGTTAATGTTACTTTAGTGCTTCTAATGAAGTCTGAGTTTTAAAGTGGTGATATTCTGTTATATATAACTTTGCTCTTTGTGAAACAACAGAGTAAATGCAGAAAATAAATGCATAAAGGCAAAAACACACCACAGCCTTTGGCTTATATTCTCTATAACCCATATCTTCTTCCAGAATCAGAATAAGCTTTATTGTCAGTGCTCCAGCATCCCAAAGCACAGAAATTTGACTCCGCAGTACAGCCTGACAAAGGTTATATACACAAAACATGTAGAACAAAACAGATACAGGCAGACCACGAGAGCTGCCATTCGAGGCGCTCATCCAATATAATTAAGTTGTAGGAATCATTATAAATAAATAGTTGTGGGTTTGGCATGTTGTTCGAGAAGTAAAGTGTGATTTAAAACACTGAAAAAAGTGCTTCAGTTGTTAGATCAAACAAATACATTAACATTATAGTAGGAAAAAGAGTCTGATATTTATTTGTTATTTACCAGATACATTTGTGATTTGGGTAACATCATGTTTACTTCCCAATAGGAGCTGTTTGGTGACGACAGTGAAGATGAGCAACGCAGTCAGCACAGTGGCAGTGACAACCAGTCCGAACGATCCGGGAACCAGTCAGATGCCAGCATGCACTCAGATCAGGGGGAAAACGATCATTCGGACGCAGAGCAGCACAGTGGATCAGAGCGAGATCAGCGGGATGACGATGAAGATGAGGAGGATGTAGGCAACAGGTCAGAGGGAGGAAGCCCAGCAAGCAGTGGAGCGTCTGGAGCAGGAAGCCCTCGATCTGAGAGGGGCAGTGCTCATTCAGACAGAAGGTATCATGAAGGAGTCTAATTCATTGTATTGTTTGTTAACCAATTAGACCACATTTACTGTTGTGTGTCAACTAAGTAACATGTTTTAAATTCAGTTCAAGTACTCTCCAAAGCGTTACTGACGAACAGTAAATATCTGAGCTGCTTGAATGTATAAAAGTCCCATTAGTTGATGTGTTGAAAGAAGAAAAATCCACTAAACACAGATGTCTGGGTGACTTTCAGAACAGCCAGAGCTCTACATGTGGTCAGATGGTGTATGCATCCAAAGATCCTGTAGATGATGTTTTGTACTGGGAACTGTGGGATTCTGTAACCAAAGGTGTGTTGAAAAACCTTGAGGTTTGGAATCCCAGCAGACTTTTTTTTGACAAACATCAAACAAATAAATATTGCTGCAAAGCATGCCTGCAGATCCCTTTTTTTGGCAGAATTTCATCCTGCGAGCTGTAAAAATCATTCAGAAATAGTTTGAGGACTATATCTGTGCTTACACTTCCTGCTGTCAGCCAGCTGGGTGAGGGCGGAGAGGGCTTCTGACGCGCTTCTATTCATCAATCAAACATCTTTTGGCTGTGCAATTGTCTTGTTTATTTTCTTCACAAGCACTAGCTGGCATTTCACACAATGCTGTTGTTCTAAGGTTAGTAGTTCTCAAGGCTGATCGTCACAAAAAAGAAATATTTCGTGCCATGGTGTGGCACGCGGTAAAGACCGTACGCTCATCCCGCCACCCATGTGTAATCGGATCATCCGAAACACCCGAGGACCCACTTAAATAGCATGTGACGCACCCGACACCACCACCACAGATGAAAGCCCAACTAACAAAATATAATTAAAGAACAAATAAATGGCTCCTACAATATCTAAGTATGGAATCTGCATCCAAATATTATCCCAGCTGTTGGTCTAATTAAGCATCTGTGAAATCTGCATTTAAAATGAGTCCAATTCAAAGCAAATGCAGTCTCCAAACCTTATGTCACAAGACAACTACTGAGGTCTAACCATGTCTGTGTCTCTGATGATGAAAGGTTTTTATTAGCTGTACCAAATGAAGATCATACCTGGTAGAAATGTGACAAATTTAGAAGACAACCAGTAAATTTGAGTGTTGACCAATTAAGCCGGGTAAAAATTAGAAAATCTCTTACCGTACTCATCCAATAATTTCTGTCACACCTTTGTGTGGTCACATGGTCAGTTTATTTATGTACGTTTTTAATTGTGTCTCTGTTTTGGACCAGTTTGCACAGTGATCCTGGGACTCCCCAGTCTGGACCAGGCACCCCTCATGCTAATGGGGAAGCTTCTGGAAGGGAGAACCAATCAGACGATGAGAAGTGGGGAGGAGGTGCTAAAAGCGACCAGTCAGAGGATGAGGAGGAGAAGCGTCATTATTCTGATGAAGACAGGGAGAACTCTGATGACGAGGGGCTGAGGAGCAGGAAATCCGGTACGGCGGTGCTGAATGGACTGTTTCAGATGAATTGGCTCACAAGGCTCACACGTTAGCTTTCAGACATCAAATGTTGTACGGATTAGTGTCGAACGTGAGCATGGGGTTAATATGAGATTAACGTTTTAGTTTACTTTTTGTACACAAGAACTTTTTATTTATTTAAACATGCCATCATGAAGAATTTGGTTTGTTCTAATCAGCTGCTGCCATTTTTATTTTTCAGACTTTGCAAAGGGCAGCGACAGTGAAGATGACTTCATCAGACAGAAAACCAAAGCGAAAGCCGCCTCTGATTCAGATTCAGACAGTGATGGAGAAACAAATAAAAGTGGGGTTTTTCAAGTCTGTTAGGTTTTATATTTTGTTGTTTTTATTCGCTATACAGTGGATTTTCTTTGATGCTGTTCCGCAGCAAAGAAAACCGCAGCAGACGATCTGTTTGGAGAAGCTGACGACATCTCTTCAGACAGCGATGCTGAAAAGCCGCCAACCCCAGGACAACCTCTGGTGTTTATCTCTTCGTTTGTGTCTTGCTAAGCCTGTTCTGTGCTTATCCCTTTCATCAGTGTCATGGCTACAGCTGAAGTCAATGTTCTCTGTCTTTGTGAAGGACGGAGAGGATGGGATGGAGGGGGAGCAGGCAGAAGAGGAGCCTGCGCCGGAAACTCGTATAGAAGTAGAAATCCCAAAAGTTAGCACAGACCTGGGATCAGACCTGTACTTTGTCAAATTGCCCAACTTCCTGTCTGTAGAGCCCAGGTCAGAGACGTAGATAAACACATCAAAATATTAAGGATTTTAATAACGATAAAACCACAAACGTAACTTCATTTTTCTATTGAATCTCCCTTTTTAGACCCTTTGATCCTCAGTACTATGAGGATGAATTTGAGGATGAAGAAATGCTGGATGAGGAGGGACGAACCAGGCTCAAACTCAAGGCAGGCTTTAAATAAAATGGAATGGCAACTTTTGAAGTTTATGTTTTAAGTTTTGCAACGATTGTCTTCTGTTTCCCATCAGGTGGAAAACACAATCAGATGGAGAGTCAAGAGAGACGAGGAGGGGAATGAAATGCGGGAGAGCAACGCACGTATTGTCAAATGGTCTGATGGCAGGTGTGTGTGTGTTACAGCAGCTCCATGTAGGACTTGTCAGCAGGTTCTGCTTTGTGCTCATGGTTTCTGTTCTCACCACAGCATGTCCCTCCACCTGGGGAACGAAGTATTCGACGTTTACAAAGCTCCTCTCCAGGGAGACCACAACCACCTGTTTATCCGGCAGGGTACTGGACTGCAGGGGCAGGCTGTGTTCAAAACCAAACTCACATTCAGGTAAAATGCCAACATGCAGCATCAGTGGCAGCCTGCTTTTAGGATCTTAGCCTCACACAGAGGCATTTATTTCTTTTGAATAGCTACTTCTCATGTATTTTGCTCTAAACCACCACCCTAGAGCACCTGCAACAGCAATAGTGGCACCCTTCATCCAGGCTCTTTTTAAACATGTTCTTTATGCCATAAGTCCACGGATCACCTTGTGCAAGCTGCCCAGGTTCCTCTGAGTAAGAACCCTCTAAGCCTCTTAGCTCCCGCTAGTCCACTTGAATGTTCTGTCTTCACAGGCCACATGGGCCTAGTTAGACATCTTCCAGACCTGATCCACTGGCACGCGTGCGCGCACACACACACACACACACACACACACACACACACACACACACACACACACACACACACACACACACACACACACACACAAGCTATGATCTGTTTTGATTGAGCATTAAACAAGGAGCTTTTCTCAATGTGCACATTTTTTTTTCATGTAAGCTCTAACCTACAAAAGTACTGAAAGCAAAGCCTTAGACAGAGAAATAAAACAGTTTAAATTTGGGATTTATCGACAGGAGAAAACTGCAATGGAAGAAAATTGTAGTTCACCCATCGTCCACTAAGGGCTGGCTCCAAAAACAGCAAGTTCCCATTGACTCCCATGTTAAAATGCTACCTTTACAGCTGAAATAAACATGATTACAGCCTGGTACAAATGCATTAATCATAAGGGGAACATGGAATTAATGGGGCAGCAGTAGCTCAACAGGTTGAGCGGCTTGTCCAGTAATCGGAAGCTTGCAGACTCGATCCCGGCTCCGGACAGAGAATTCTGATGTTGTGTCCTTGGGCAAGACACTTAACCCACCTTGCCTGCTGGTGGTGGTCGGAGGGACTGGTGGCGCCTGTGCTCGGCAGCCTCGCCTCTGTCAGTGTGCCCCAGGGCAGCTGTGGCTACATCGTGGCTCATCACCACCAGTGTGTGAATGGATGAATGATACACTGTAGTGTAAAGTGCTTTGGAGTCCTTACTCTGAGAGGCGCTATACAAGTGCGGGTCATTTATCATTCATCATTATCATAATTACAACAGTGATTGCATGAAAATCATGGATATTCCTGGATGTTAAAAAATCTTAATTTCACAATTAAAAGGAGAAAATGTAAAAGTTTTCTCTTCCCATTATCAGGGATCTTCAGAGTTTTTTCATGCACTATGACAATAATCTCTGTATTATTGAGATGGTTCCTGCAGTTTTTATTCCTTCCGCCAGCTTTGTTTTATTATAGTTGTTGATGCACAATGCCCCAAATTCCACATTGTAAAAAACGGATGATGCTTTGTTCTTTTCTTTTGCCATTTTGAGTTTAACCTAGCTAATAGCAGAATCTCTGACTGTCGGTTTATGTGTTGAAACAACACAAAGATATTTCAATACCAAAACCTACAGAAGTGTTGGTGTTTCATGTCTTTATTATCTTTAACTGCTCTGTGTTTACATGGTTAGGCCGTTTCTCAATACCCTAGTACACCAAATGTTCTGAATTTGATATAACGCCTTCTAGAGTCCTGGAACTCCCCAAGGCGCTTTACAACACAATCAGTTATTCATGCATTCCCACACACATTCACACCCTGGAGGTGATGGTACACAGACAGAGGCGGGTCTGCCGTACACAGGCCACGGGTCCCTCCAACCACCACCAGCAGGCAAGGGGGGTTAAGTGTCTTGCCCAAGGACACAACGACAGTGACAGGCTGAGGGGGGTTTGTACCTGCAACCTATCTGAGTCTTACTCCACTTCTATTTCCTATTTGAAAAATGCAACAAATGTTGTTGCCTGGCAGACCAAGAGGGTGGAGCCGTTAATAGATGCAAACACACAGGCTCACAACAACATTGTGATGTCATAATGCAACGGCTAACGTCACAGTGAACCTTTTAGCCAATAACAATGGCAGATTTCAAATGTAGTGCTGAGTTTTTACCTGAAGACGGTGCAGCACTGACAGTTTTAGGCAGAATATTTAAATTTTATTTAAGATGCACTAAAGTGCTGAATTATTGACTGCACGTGTCTACAGCATGATTAGACACTCATTTATATAGTTTATCAGCAAAAAAAGTTGATTTGGGGGTGACTTTCTCTTTTAAAAAATGACCTGAAATAAAATAAAGGTCTTGTTTGTTACTTAAATAACAATTAACACATTATGAAAAAAGCAAGCGAGCGAGAGCACTCATGTGAATAAAGTTTTATTGATAGGTGCTAACTTAAGTCAAACCTCAACACACTAGCATTTTTGATAAAATGTTTCTTTGTCAGAGTGAATACATTATATTTGTATAATGTTTGGTCAGCTTTTTATCAAAACTGGTCAAATACAAGCATTTCTCACTGTTAAATGAAGAGAAATGTTATTATTTTCTTTAAAACATTTATTTACGGCAATGCTGCTTTTATTTTGATAGTGGGCTAGCTAATTAGCACTTTGAGGTATCATGAAAAAACCAAACACACATCAAATTTTACAGGCTACGCACAATTAAATACAATAACATACAACTTTATAGTTATCTGTTTAGACAGAATTATTTGTAGTTTTGATTTATAAACATGACAGTTATGAGCTTTTCTCTCTGCAATTTTCTGTTTGGGGTATCGGTTTGCGACAAAAACCATTATGGGATACCTTGCCGGCCCAAGCCCGCAGAAGGATGCATTAATGCACCCTCGATACAATGAGCGAAGCAAGAACACATCCGGGAACTTTTGAGAGTACTTAGATTGGAACAGTACTTGGGCCAACGTTAAGACGAGTAAGCATATTGAGAAACAACTTTAGAGAAAAAATTCTATGATGTAGCTTTGATACGTGCTGAAAGAATATTGAAAACCTTTTCCTGGCTAAAGGAATATGAGTAAAAACTGCCCCTGATTGCTGTTATGGAGTGTAATTGTTGTTCTAGGGAGGATGGTGGCACAGGAGTTAAGTGCTTGTCCCGTAATCAAAAAGTTGCAGGTTCGAGCCCCACTCAGTCACTTTCGTTGTGTCCTTGGGCAAGACACTTAACCCACCTTGCCTGCTGGTGGTGGTCGGAGGGACCGGCGGTGCCAGTGTTCGGCAGCCTCGCTTCTGTCAGTGCGCCCCAGGGCAGCTGTGGCTACATCATAGCTCATGCCCACCAGTGTGTGAATAACTGATTGTGTTGTAAAGCGCCTTGGGGGGTTCCAGGACTCTAGAAGGCGCTATACCAAATACAGGCCATTTACCATTTATTCTGTTTTTAGGCCTCACTCCACAGACAGCGCCACCCACAGGAAGATGACCCTGTCTCTGGCCGATCGCTGCTCGAAGACACAGAAGATCAGAATCCTTCCCATGGCTGGAAGAGATCCTGAGTCTCAGCGCAACGAAATGATCAAAGTAACAACTTTCAGTTCCTCTCTGCTGTTCTGCTCTACTCATCTTTTGTCTACCATGTCCAGGAATTCTTTTGTTTCTACAGAGGCTAAAAAAGTTTGCATAAGGCCAGTTGTTGACAAGCATGGAGCCAGGTTACATAAAAGCACAACTAACATGCTTATATACGGAGGTCAGTCAGTGAGACAGAAACAAAGTCAGCAGGTCTGCAGAACTGCAGGAGTCGACACAAACCAACATCACTGATAGCATCGTTTTCTGTTTTCCCTTCTTTAAACCTCGACTGAGACAAGACAAGAAGTTGCACAACTGCTGTGCTTAAAGTTCCAAACACCCCGTGGTGTGTGTGTGTGTGTGTGTGTGTGTGTGTGTGTGTGTGTGTGTGTGTGTGTGTGTGTGTGTGTACTTGGTAATTACAACACTTGGATTTTCCTATATTTCGGGCCTGTTGTTTTTCAGTGAACAACTTAATAACAGTTTGAGTGAATCTGCAAAGCTGCTTTGATTTAAAAGTACAGCTTATTCAGGCGAGGGCAAAAAAACCAAAAAAAAAAAGCTAACAAGAACCCAGCTGACAGCCAAAGATCACTGTGGATGACAGCTATCAAAGAAGTTACCCTTGCACCTGCATGTCTCAGTTTGATATAGATGGTTATGAAAATTAATAAATACTGTAAACTAATAAATACTAAGTAGAAAAGTAAGCGGTATTGCCAGTTTGTGTTTGACACAAAGGTTAATAAAAATAATTTTTTTAGATTGTCTCGTTTAGTTTGGAGTCACTTTGCATTCAAATCTCAGTTTTGACATTAATCTAACTGACCAGATTATAATAAAGAAAGATAAAAGGTTTATTTTTAACACTTAGTGTAAAATCTTGTGCAGAAAGACTTGAATTCACATTTACTGCAGCAGGTTTTGATTCTTGTGTGTTTGCTTGTGTTTTGTGTGTGTGTTTTTAGTGTGATTGTGTCTGGATTGTTGTTTAGAGTTTCATCTGTACAAAGTTTGCCCTTTCAGAACTGGTTGGGTGTCTGACAAGGTTTACTGGCAAATTCTAGTCCATCCTTGGTAAAGTTGAGTCTTATGAAGGATTTTCTCTCTGTGGTTACTCTTGTGTTTGTTCCAGAGGTATAATAATATATCAGAGGTTATCGAGGTTGTCTTGAATTGTGTTTACTGTAGTTTGAGTCCAGCTAGCCCCCAGTCTCTGTTAGCTCACACGGTGAGTGAAGTTTAGACCAAAAAGTTCTACTTTGGTCTCATCTGACCACATGACTTTCTCCCATACCTCCTCTGGATCATCCAGATGGTTATTGGCAAACTGCAGACGGGCGTGGACATGTGATGACTTGAGCAGGGGAACCTTTCATGCAATGCGTGATTCGAAACCATGACGGCATAGTGTTCTACCAACAGTGACCTTTGAAACTGTGGTCCCAGCTCTCTTCAAGTCATTGACCAGCTCCTCCCATGTCGTTCTGGGCTGATTCCTCACCTTTCTTATCATTAGTGATACCCCACAAGATGAGATCTTGCATGGAGCCCCAGTCTGATGGAGACTGACAGTCGTCTTTAGCCTCTTCCATTTTCTGACAATTGCTCCAACAGTTGATCTATTTTCACTAAGCTGCTTGGCAATTTCCCCGTAGTCTTTTCCAGTCTTGTGGAGGTCCACGATTTTGTCTCTGGTTTCTTTTGACAGCTCCTTGGTCTTGCCCGTGGTAGTAGTTGGAGTCTGACTGACTGTGGAGTGGATAGGTGTCTTTAAAGAGCTCAGACAGGTGCTACTAATTAAGATTACTAAGTAGAGTAGAGGTGGACTTCTTAAAGGCAGAGTAACAGGTCTTTGAGAGCCAGAATTCTTGCTGATTGCCAGGTGTTCAAATACCTATGTGCAGCAGTGCAAAACAAATACATTCTTTACAAATTAGGCCCTGTCCACACGTAGCCGGGGATCTGCCAAAACGTAGATATTTTTCTACGTTTTGGCCTGTCATTCACACGAAAACGGAGTTTTTTCACACGAAAACGGATCGTTTTAAAAACTCCGGCCAAAGTGAAGATCTACGTTTTCTCCGTTTTGGGTGTCTGCGTGTGGACAGACAAAACCGGAGTTTTAAGGCCCACAACGTCACTTTCTGCGACAAAAAATGCTGACATCACGTGTACGAACTGTGTTTACACTAGCCGACAGCATGGATGCCCTCAGAGCTGCGCTCGCTTTTTCAATTGTCCAAGCGCTTTTTGCTTGTTTGTTTTTGCAAGCGGAATTACTGCTCCTTGCGGAAGACCACAAACGAAGGACGAGGTTAAGAACGGGGAAGTACTGCCGCCTACAGGTCTGGCATGTCCTTAACAACGTATTTATCCGCGTACGTGTGGACAGTTATTTTTTAAAACAAGGTGGTGTGGATGCAAGTTTTTGGAGGGGCGGATATTCGTTTTTTTTTTAAAAAACCCGGCTACGTGTGGACTAGGCCTTAAACAATGTGATTTCCTGATTTTTTTTTGTACATTCTGTCTCTCACAGTGGGAATGCACCTACAATGTGTTTCAGACCCCTCCATGATTTTAGTGGGAGAACTTGCAAAATCGCAAGGTGTTCAAGTACTTATGTTCCTCACTGTACATATATATATATATATATATATATATATATATATATATATATAGTAACCTTGGCCAGAAGGGTGATTAGAAGAAATGGAAAGCACCTGCGTTAAATGTCACAGCAAAGGGTCAGATTACTTAGGGCCATGTGATATTTCAGTTTGCCTTTTTTTTTAATAAAGCTGCATACATGTTTTAAATTCTGTGTTTTTCTGTCAATATGGGGTACTGTGTGTACATTAATGAGGAGAAAATGAATAGATGTTAGCAAATGGCTGCAATATAACAAAGATTGAAAAATTGGCAGGGTCTGAATACTTTCGTTACCCGCTGTAACCTCAGCAGCCTTTGGTGGTGCACTTTCCCCCTAGAAGGTTTCAGTGTGGAAATGCCACCTTCTGTCCCTCAAACAATTCCCATGTGTGTTTCTTCTGGCAGAAAGAGGAGGAGCGGCTGCGAGCATCGATTCGCAGAGAGTCCCAGCAGAGGAGAATGAGGGAGAAGCAGCACCTGAGGGGCTTGAGCAGCAGCTACCTGGAGCCAGACCGCTATGATGATGAAGAGGAGGGCGAGGAGGCGATCAGCCTGGCAGCCATCAAGAGCAAATACAAGGGAGGAGGAGGCCTGAGAGGTAAGGCAATCATAAGCTTCATAAAATTCATTCAGGATGTCTTAACTATTTTGTTTCATTAGATTATTTATTAGACAAACTTAAATCTCATAAAAATATTCCCACTTCAGAGGAGCGAGCAAGAATCTACTCCTCCAGCGATGAAGGCTCTGATGATGATAAAGCCCAGAGGCTGATGAAGGCCAAGAAGTTGGACAGTGATGAGGTAGGTGCAATTTCCTGGAGAACAGACAGGGGGCAGTGTGAGACAAGACACTGGTGGTTAAAAGCTAACCACTCATCCTCATTGTGAACAGAAGACATGAAGTACAACAGTCATTCTAACTGGCGTGCATTTCTATGTACTATGACTGTTTGTCCTCCAAACAACACACACACGCACACACACACACACACACACACACACACACACACACACACACACACACACACACACACACACAAAACATTACCCGATGGCATGAAAGCACTGAAAAGTTTTATAGAAAGTCTGCCGCTGTCGGTACTGTATAATCTCAGCTCATCCTCTGCTGTTAACAGGAGGGTGAGGGATCAGTCAAGAGGAAGGCGGAAGACGATGAAGAGACAGCCACTAAAAAGGCCAAGAAGTATGTCATCAGTGATGAAGAGGATGAGGAAGAGGATGATGAATAGTGTACTATTTTTGACATTTTCATTCCCACTGTAATATCAGTGTTCAGCCCACATGGCCTATAAATGGCCACAATTTGTTTTTGTAAATTTTCTTACTACCTGTGTGTGGGTGAGTGTGTGAGATTGTGTGTTTGTTTGTTTATAATGTGTACAGCAGAGGTGAGAAATAAACCCTTGGGTTATGTAACTAGAACCTTCCAGGGACCTTGTTTTTTATATTCTTAATGAATCATGCAGCTGTTGTGAGAATATGAACCATTATGTTTAGTTCAGGTTCCAAACGAAACACTTATTAGTTGAGTGCTGTTGGTTGATGAAAATTAAATTGGGTTAATAACAGAAGTTACAGCTGCCTTTCTGTTTCACTTGTGTAACAAATACAGCTTCACTCGTCTGCTGGGTTTAGCTTTGAAGCTCTTGGAAGTTTCTTGAGAATGGAAGATGCCCTTGAGCAAAGCAATGGAGAAAGTATTTGGTAGGAAGGTGGGGGTCTTGAAGGAACTGATGAAACCCACCTGACAGGAAAGGCAGGAGATTATAGGATTTGGGATTGGAGACAAAGGGGCTGTAGTTCTGGGAGGGAAGATGCTTTTTGACCTTTTCTGCAAATCCAGAGGAAAACTACAAACCTGCAGAAACACATCTGGTTTAGTAACAGTTAACAGTAGTATCATCCCATGTTCTCAAAATATAAACAATTCATTTTAAAACACTGCTAATTACTAGTACACACTGGTATAATTATCTCAGAATTAGTGCCTTGTGGGACATTTTAAAGGGGACATACTGTGCAAAATGTAAGTTTTGCATCTTGTGCTCCCATGTGGATCTATGCTGCCTCTAGAAAAACTCCAAACTTGGGGAAAAAAGTTTTCTGTCTGTTCAGTTTTAGAAATTATGTGCCTAAAACAAACTGTTTAGAAAAGTCCCTGTTTGTGATGTCACAAAAAGAAATGTAGAACACAACCACCTCTCATGTGCAAGACTCCTCAAAGTCGGAGCTTCTCAGCTTAATGCAGCCTGAGTGAGGGATGGGTGGGCGTGACTAGCTCTAGCTTGGCGCTTACACATTAGCGTCGGCACAGTCGGGGTTTGGTCGGGTTGGATGGCATGAGTTCAGTCTCAAATGGTTTGTGTAGTGTTCACATATAATTCCGAGGGACTTCCCAGGAATGTGGAAATCCCCAAGCCTGTGGGCGGCGTTTAATACGCGCGGGCAAGTCCGCTCCATAAGGCAAACAAAAGGCGGGCATGAGCTGTGTTGCTTTTGAGACTCTTAACCACATTATTTTATTAATTTGCTGCGTCTTCATAATAGTGTGCCACACACACACCGATTTCTCCCCTGAGCAGCAGTCTGCTCCCCAGAGCTAGAGCTCCGATGCGGAGAACAGGCGCACAGAGCTATTCTCTTCTCCCACTCCCACACTAATACGGCAGCTCCAGAACAGCAGCTCTGTGCTACAGACAGAAGTTTACTCAACAGCGTGAAAATGAATCGCGCACACGGGAAACCCCCCGCTGGCTCATTCTTCTCGCAGATCGGAGGCTGTAGGCGTAATTTCAGCCGGCTAATCAGTCCGTAGTGTCGCCTCAGTCCCAGTCTGACCACTGAGGAGAAGGTCTGAGAAAAAGAGTCGCCTCGGCACCGAAAACGCAAATCTGGCCTGTGTGTAAAACCAAATTCTGGTGCCGTTCGATACCTTCTGGGGCTGTGCCGACGCTAATGTGTAATCGCCATTAAAGTGACAGAGCCCTGAAATGGCTCATTCTGGAAGATACTGAAAATGTCAATAAAACTGCGGACATCACTAAATTAACTCATTAACTGCCATTGATGACTAAAGTAATCGTTTTAAATCCAACCGCTTGCTGCCATTGACGACTACACTTGTTAATTGTGTTTTTTAAGGGACAAGTCTGGCAGTCAGGCTTTCTGTTCAGAAAACATCTGGCAGTTAAAGAGTTAATGAACGTGTTTTGTATCGTCTAGAACTATAAAAACTTAGAGTAAAAAGTCATATTTTGTCCTCTTTAAAAATCTAATTATTCTAATTGACATTAATAAACTTGTCCAGTAAAATCACATCCTTTTTAAACGTAATGCAATACATATTTCTACGTGTTTGTCTACGCATCAGTGAGGTTATTGACTCTTTACTCTGGCCTCATAAAGGATAAATGACTTTGTTTGCACACTTAATATATTACTTAACAGGAACATAAAACATGGCTTTGTAGTCCTCTAATCCAACCGTAGTTATAGTTTAGAAGAGTATGCCTTTTTAAGAGAGTGAAGCATGCAGATCACATGCTTATTTGAGGATTTACTAGAGTAAGCTGAAATCCTCCTTCAAATATAATTAAAGCTTTTACCACTGTCTTAACCCTTCACAAATCAGTTTTAGAACCATTGCATTGGCTCCCTGCATGTTTCAGGATCAATTTTAAGGTTCTAATGGTTTTAAGTGCCTTAATGGTCTTGGGCCTTCTTATCTGTCAGAACTGCTTTTACCATATGAACCCTCACGGCCTCTGAGCTCCTCTGGCAGGCGTCTCCTGGTCATCTCTAAAGTCAGGACACACACTCACGGCAAGGCGTCCTTCCAGTATTACGGCCCTCGCCTCTGGAACGAGCTGCCCGAGGACCTCGGGGCCGCAGAGAACGTTCATGTTTTTAAGTCCAGGCTCAAGACCCATCTTTTTAGGTTAGCTTTCATCTAATTATTTACTATAGTTTTATATGATTATATTTTAGCTCAGTTTCTCTGATGACGTTTCCTTGCCTTGCCTTACTTGGCTCATCTGGACTCAGCCGAATATAAATTTTTACTGATGTGATTGTGTGTGTGTGTGGGTGGGGGTGGGGGTGGGGGGGGGGTAGGGTTAGGGTTAGGGTGCATTAATGATTTTTAGTTTGTTACGTACACTCATTTCATAGTTAAATTCACCCCAATTCAAACTGTAAGTGCATGCATGCTGACTTGTGTCATCAGCAGTGGTGTGCTGCACTTTCACGGACTGCAGTGTGTTATGTAAACCCAATTCTACACAGTGAAGAGTGGGGAAGGGAGGGAGAGGCACTGCTACAGTCAGCACTGACTAAAAGGGGTGAAACAAGAGGGAGGGCTGCAGCATTTTAAGCTCTTTTAGGGGGTTTTCTCCTCCTTTTATCTTTTTTCCCTGCTGTCTGTAAAAGATATCTCAGCAATCCAATAACTGGCCTGTTCTGGACTAAGACTCTGTAACAGAAAGGGTTAAGTCCTGCAGGCAAACATTAAAACATGATGGTGGGTTGTGAGTTGAAGCTAAATTGGCAAGTGATCCACCAATTAGACCTCAGAAGAGGCATCAGCTGGGTCAGCATGAGGCCAGGTTTTCTGCTGGAAAACCCCGACCGGAATCACTGAAAGCCAAGCTCATGTTTACCTAATGGAGCATGCACACAGGTACCAGACATCTTTATGTTGTTTACTTTGTTTTTGTCGTTGTCCTAACTTTTGCTCACCGAAAGAGCTGTAGAGTCTCTGGCTGCAATAAAAAATTGAACAGGATTTTCTTTTTTAATGGATTCCAATTTGGTCTCCCTCATCCAGGCGAGGTGCCTTGACTCTATCGGTCATGCTTCATCAAAGTTTTTGAGCCAGCTCTGTTGTGGTAAAGCTCTTGGTTTAGTGATCCATCCAAGCTTCAGCCCTCACCTATGGTCACTAGATCTTGGGATACAAGAGGATTAAGCAAGTTTATTCAGCAGGATGTCTGAGTTCAGCCTCAGAGACAGGATGAGGAGTTCCTTCATCCTGGGGAAGCCCCATAAGGTCTAAGCTGAGGTGGTTTTGGCATCTGACTAGGATGCAACCTGAGAATGCGATTTTTTTTGGGTGCAGCAAATCCAGGTTTTACTTGAGAGATTATTGATCCTGTGGTCGGCAAAGGCCTTGGGATCCTGCAAGAAGAGCTGGAGAGTTTTCCTGGAGTGCGGGATGTCCGAGCCTCTTTGTTACTTTGTGGAAATGATGAATAAAAAGTTCATTTGCAAAACCAAAAAGGGATAACTCAGTTTTTTCATTTTTATTATTATTTACTTCAGATGAATTCAGTAAGAATAAAGTTGGGCTATTCTAATAAAAAATGACTAAATTAATTCCTAAGTCATAATTAAAGTCGAATCAAAGTTAAAGCTTGCGTTGACTCTTGTTCACCTAATTGTATAGATTTGACTAACTCCACCAGAAACAGCCTTCCCTGCTTGTGTTTCATCACTCGGTGCCCTTTACTCTTGTCTCAGCATGTTCCCTTCCCCGCTGGTGCTTATATAAGAGACTAATAAATAAAATGGGAACACAATACGTTGCTCTCACAACAGGATCCCCTCACACTCACACATGACAGTGACCCAGAGACTGCTGCGAGGGTCAGAGCTGGAACACTTTCCCTTACACCCAAGCAGGTGTGTGTTTTCAATACACACACATTCACACAAATAGGATCATAACAATTTCGTATCATCTGTTTGTTTTTTTTACTCTTATGACCTCAACAATTTGGGTCAGCATGTTCTGCTGGAAGAACAAGGCTTAATCTGTAAACAACAGGTTACCTTCAACTGTGAGCAGCTCTGAACAAAGATTAAACTTAAGCTTTTCTAAAGAGAAGAAGGAGGAGAAAAACACAGCAGGAAAGAGAAAGAAAAGAAAAGTAACCTTTTCTGCTGCAGTTTCCTTCAGATCCTGGGTTAAACCTTTTCTCAACGTTTCCTGTCTCTATATGGGAGCGTTTTTTACACTCAGCAGTTCTACTCAGTGCTTTAAAATACATTCACACAAACATAAGAGGAAAGGTGCAACCATCAAAAACAGCACGGGCTTCAGATGTAAAGAACTTGGGATGTGGAAGTGTCAATTATTGGATTGATGAAAAGTTGCTTTTATCATCCGACTCAAAAAACAAATAACATGAGAACACTTTTAATCTTGCTGCTAAATCCGAGACCATGGTCTTGAGTCGGAGAAAGGGTGGATGCCTTTTTCAGGTCAGGGACAAGGTCCTGCTTCAAGTGGAGGAGTTTAAGTATCTTGGGTTCACGAGTGAGGGAAAGATGGAGCATGAGATTGATAGGCGGATTGGTGATGCGTCTGCAGTGATGCGGGCGCTGTACCGGTCTATCTATGTTCCTATACCCTCACCTATGGTCACGAGCTTTGGGTAGTGACCGAAAGAATGAGGTCGCGTAGACTAGCGGCTGAAATTAGTTTTCTCTGCAGGGTGTCTGGGCTCTCTCTCTCAGAGATGTGATGAGAAGCTCATTCATCCGGGAAGAGACCCAACAGAAGACCCAGGAC